ATTTCATAATATTATCTCTTGCAGGGCATTAAAATTACCATGCTTAAATAATAATGTGAAACTTTATCCATTCCGCTTAGTTGCAGTGAAGCATGATCTGAAAGAAAAATCCAGTCTTAAAACATTGATGATGAGGTTTGAAGGTCCTATGTTTTAGGTCCACAGTTAGTCCATGGACATTTCCAAAATCACTATAATATCTTTTTTCTTTCCTGATGAGTATTAGACAGTATATTCAAGAAGCTTAACTCTATGAGGAAGGGAAGAATGTAAATATTAGAGCTAATACTGTAAATGATGTGCTCTATTATGACATCTCTGATGTGCAGCTTTTGGGCCTACCTTGTTATCTAACATGTAAGAATTAGAAGAAAGCTTTTTGCCCAAGAGAGAGACATGATATCTCAACTATTATTTGGGGGGGATTTTTGATTTTGTGTAACAGATTACTCTGATAACATCGCTTGAGTGTTAAAATTTAGAACTTTAGAATCAAATCATGGAAGTCCAGCTGTGAATTTCTAGTGAAAATTATATTATCACAAATTAATTTATTGTTGACGTGACATTCAGCTTTGGTATGTAAGGGATACAATAGAGTATATTAATCAAAAGTGGAGAGGAAGGACGTTGCCCTACAGACAATTTAGAGATTAAGTTGTACAATATATCCTTTATTCACCTAAAAAGCAAACAAACTACAGGCTTAAAAGAGTTTTTTGTTTTTCTCCATACAACTTAATGTACATGTTTATTTGAAAGTTACAGAATGTTTCATGCCCTCAGAAATCAAAAATACGAAAGCTCTTGTGTATCCCCTTGGGTACGTGAGATTTGTCATAAAAAAGACATAACACAGGCACTGCTTCGAATAGGAAGAGTTTATATATTTGGGGAGGTTTATTTGATTCCGATTGAAGGTGAAATTATGTTCTTTCTGTGATAGGTAGCAAGCAAACTTATTTGCAAATACTAAAAACAAAAATCTAAAGAGAACACAGTCTTTCTAAGACTAAGTTATATGTAGAGTCTTGTTATGAAATAGTGTTGCACACATCACGGGTCAGATATGTTGTGCTCTTTGCTGAGGGTGCAGGCCTGTTCTGTGAGCTTCAGTTAAAGGGCGTGCATTCCTTCCTAAATTTGGCTTCCCTTGGAAATGGATGCAAGGGAAGATGTGAACTCTAGGCCTCCTTGTCAGCCACCTTATTCATAGAGAGTGTGCTTAAATTTCCTTCTGTTCGTACGTATTCTCTAATGGGATAACACTGACTCCTCTGCCGGTCTAAGTTGTATCTTAACCGATAAATCATTTGCCTTTCTTTTAGAATTTCTAAAGCTTGCTAAATTTTAAATTTATTTTAAACCATTAAAAACTAATGGTTTAATTAATTCACTTCAATACTCCACTTGCATAAAGTAAATATTGTGCTATTATTTCCAGGTAATCCTTTAACTGTGGAATGCAGGCATTAAAACCTTGCATGTGTACACCATCAAATAAGTTACCTCTCAGATGTTTGTTAACCTCTGACTTCAGTGACAACCTTAAAAGAATAAAACAGAAATCCACAGAAGGATTAAATACATGCATAGAACAACAATTACCAGTTTTCTTAGTGAGACTTCATTATTTTTTCTTAGGCAAGATACAGTAAACCCTGGGGAAAGATAACTGAATTATTCCCCATCTGCTAAATGCAAATGAAGCCTGTTTAGCAAGGTGGAGAAAGAAGCCCAAAGACTTTCAAATATTTGTATGTGAAACTTCCTCCTACCCCCCTTAAAAATGTCCAGGGTCTCCTGCTCATATCTGAGACTTAAAAATAAATAGATAATGTAAAATGTTGAGAGTATCTATAGGTCTCTTGTTTTGGAAATTCTTCTCTGCCCAGATAAAATCATTGGGATAGAAAGCCCCACTTTAAACCGAAAACTAAGCAATTTTTCAAACAGTGTATCACTTCTAAAAGCACAGTGCTACCTAACATGACATTGTACAAATAGCATAGATTTTTTGTGTGCTCATATTTTGTGATGAAGCTTAAAAAAGTCATATGCAAATTCATGAAGTGCCTTTCTGAGATAGGCTATACATGTATTGTAAGTTTTAGAATATATTGTACCATAATTCAAGACAGGGAAATACATATTTTGAGTGTTATATTTTATCTGCAAAGTAAAGTATAATTAACAATTGGTTGTCTTGTTGCAAAAGATACTTAGGTTGTATGGTGAAAAGGTCACTTAAGGACAGAAGCTGTAAATACTTGCCAAAAGGGAATAGCCTAGCTACTTTGTCAGACATTAATTTATTGGCTCATGGCCAAGCTCATGACCTTCTCATATGGAGCTGAATGTTTCTGTCCTTTAATTATTTTAGTCTCAAAAATTTTTTAACAAAACTTCCTCTATGCAGTTTTTGTTGTAAAAGGATTCACTATTTGTAATAAACTCAGGTAAGTTGGTGTGGTGTCTGAATTTAAAAAAAAAAAAAAAAAAAAGACATTTAGATTTTTGATTCTTTCATAGGCCTTCCATTGTCATGGAGTTGAATTCTGTTGTTCTTAAGGATATGCTCAATGCTCGTCATGTTTGATGGTCTGTTGTATATAAAACCTCATTTAGATTACATGCATTGCAACAGAGCTGTGCTTCACAGTGCATTTTTTTAAGTCACATCTATAGATGGCTGAGAAGAGAACCTTTATGAGTTGATTCAGCAAAGCCACAGTTTCATCGTATCTCATGTCAGCAGCACTGCTGAATTGAAGGATTCCTATCCGTTGCTTTGTGTTCCCGTTTTTGTGGAAATCCTCCATTAATTATGGATAAGTTCAGTAGTCTGGTGTACAGTCAGTCTTGCAAACAGCTGTCATCACAACTATAAGGTGGTAGAGGGAGAGGTGATGTGAGGAGCTGGTGTTGTGGAAGAGAGGTGGGATGCTAAGGGAGATGCTTAAGGAGACAATAATGCTGATGCAAGCTCTTATGGTGAAACTGGGTTTCATAACAGCTGAAAAAAACACGAGACCTGTAAATGTTCTCCTTTATCATAGTGGAGTGTTACATCTTAACAGGTTTGTTGTGTAGATGGAGTTGTTAGCATTCTAATTCCTGTGGGTCCCTGGCTGTGTGAGGACCTGTTTTGTTCCTCTTTCACAAAAAAAGCTGTCAACTGCAGTGTATAGTGGAACAGCTGAAAAATTACATGTAAGGTTACTAATTGAAGTTTGGATTTCCAAACACAGATGTTGCATAGATAGTTCTTGGAGATGTGGGGGGCATTGCCTTTTCTTTTTCTGCAGAGAACACTTACGTTGATGACTTTCAATGACTAGAATCTAGGAAGGTGAATTGCCTTTTCAAAAATGAATTAAAAGTCACTACTTTAATTGGACATCAACATTCTCATGAAACAGATGTGGAATTTTGCAACTTCCGTATCTTAGAAGGAAGACAGTTATACATGTATGTATATGTGAAGATTTGCATCAAAATCTTTGTATCTACAAGTGGAGAAAGTGAACAGAAGAGATGGATTTAAAGCTATTTAGTAAGTTTCTTACAGTTTTTCTGAACAAAAATGCAGAGAAAGACTCAGACATCGAAGTGGACTGGATCACAGTAGGTTAGTGAACTAGAAATCTTTTGTGAGCTTTTATCCTCTGTTACAGGATGCAAACAATTTAATCTTCCAATCTGAAAATTTAGGTTTTATTTCTAAGATTACTGTCATATCATAAATGAGAAAAAAATTCTGCAACAGTGCTGCCATCTTGAAACAAGACCTGAGGGGTAGGAACTTTCATAATACAATTCCCCTTTATTAGTTTTCCTACACGATGATGACTTCAAATATTATATGCTACTTAATGTTCAGTGATGGCTATGGATAGCAAGGAAGTAATTCATCCAGTGTAGATAGCAAGAAAGTAAGTCTCGTGCTTCTGTATCAAGGCACATAAAAAGAGGGCTGATAGTATTGGTTATCGACAGGAATGACCGATGCATCTAGTTCCGGTAACTCAGAAGTAGGCTTGATTTGTAAAATGAACTTGTGATGCTTTCTACTCCTTCATCCTCACATTCTTAGTCCTAGATTGGTATTATCCAGCCTAACTGGACAGTTAAGGGTACGGAATTAATGTTAGGTTGAAAAGTTCACTTTAAATTAAAAGTTAATAACAGTCAATGATTAATGATCTGACAAAGAAAAGTAACAGAATACTTGTACAGACATATGGCAATTGTCTTGGTGTACAAATAAGAAAGATGTACTTGATAATTTTATTCTTAATTAGTTTTGTTAATATTTATTACTTACATAATTGTAAAATTTGCATGTGCTTTTTTATTTGAAAATGTGTTAATAAAATCAAATCTCAAACCCAAAACATTTCAGTTGACCTTTTTGGGAGTATATGTGAGTGAGAGAGTGTGTGTGTGAATTTTTACTTAAAAGAGAAATGTGAAAGCCATTAGTTTCAGGAAAAACAAATCTGAGAAGTTACTTCTCACAAAAAGAAAAAACTAATACACGTTTTTCAAAATGTTATTATGAGTGATTAGGAACAATTAATTAGAAGGTATCTACCACTTGAAATTCAAAGGAAGAATTTGTGCTGTGTTTTCGCAGTGTAACTGCAAATGAAAAGCTATAGCATGGTTGTAATTTCTGCAAATTTATGCAATTATCTGACAGTTTCTGAAAGTGTTTAACCATCTTTTTATTAGAAGGTATTGGTTAGTTTGTGTACACATCTATTCCACAAGGATAGATGTTGTTCTGGTTGGTGGTGGTATGCTACTGGTTGGTGGTATGCTATTAGTTGAACCGTACGCTGCAGTTTCAGAGCAGTTGCATACAGTTGTGTGCTGTTTTGAGCGATACTTGGTAAAAATAATAGTTTGGTAATCACTAATAATTAACGTCTAAATCGATTCACTTTTGTTTGTGTGGTTTTATTTTTTGTTTTTATTCTAGTATGCCAGTGTTGAGAAAGATGGAGAGCATTACATGACCCCAGAAGACTTTGTGCAGAAATACCTAGGACTTTATACAGATCCACGTTACAATCCTAAAACAGTGCAGCTGTTGGCTGGAGTGGCAGATCAAACTAAAGATGGGTGAGAATTTTGCTTTCCATTAGAAGCCTGTATTTCATTGGTAAATGAGTGAGTTTCTTTGGTAATTTCATCTTCTAAAATGCATTATTGATTTTATTATACTTCAAGCTTAATTGGACAACAAGCTTTTTCTCAAGTACAATAGACTATACATTTGTGGAACTTGGGGAAAAATACAGTGTTTAACAGTGCAGAGTTCAAGGCATTTTTAAAAAGAATCTTTGTTTTGAAGGCATTTTGACAATTAGTACAAATGGAGAGGAAGTTAGTTAAACTACAAATAAGCTTAATACAGTATGATTGCCATATAAAGTTATTTTCTGTGTACTCACATTTGTGACATGACATTTCATAAATGTCCATTCCACTGAGATACTATCCTCTAACTCGCTCTTCAGAAGAGCCTTCTTTCTTTTATGTAGGCCTCTAGCTTTGGCCTTGAATTCGGCCTCTAGCTTTGGCCTTGAATTCGGGTAGGAAACATGGGCATGTTAAAGTGAAGAGGTTAAGATAGACCACAGTAGAGGTCAAGCATGCAGAGAGGAGTGGGTGTGTTGTAGAGAAGAGATAGAAAGTTGCTGTTAAAATAGGATATGTAAACAGATCGATGTAACTTACTTTAAATGGAAAGTCCCTTAACTTACTTGGTTTTGTGAGTCTGATTCTGGCCATTGACATCACTTCAATGTTTTTGTTTTCCTATATCTTGTTTTAGACTATTTTATTAGTTTGCACAGTATTCTGAGCAACTTGCAGTGTCTGTGCTTTACAAATAAAATTGTATATGCTGCCTACATTTTATACTAAATGACAAATACAGGATCTCCCATTTGACATAATATTACATGATGCCTTTTAAAAAATAAATCTGCAGCATTTTGATAATACGTTTGGTATATACATACGTTTTGATAAATCCAAATAACCTGTCTCACTGCTCGCAATACATGCTGTACTTTTTTGTGTTGTTACAGATTGAAATAAGTCTAACTGATGACTACTAAACCAACATGTTGAGTGTCTTGTTTCTCTGAAAGCTGTTGGTTATCTTTTAGGGTGTTCGTTTCTTCCGAAATTTTTTTAATAAAAGGACCTTTTTTACAGTAAGAAGTCAATCTGTTTTATTGCTACAACAGAACTCGACAATGAGGCATCGCTTTTTTGTTATTTACTCTGTGAATATAAGTATTTTTGTTTTGTTTTTTAATCTGAGTAATGTTGGAAGTGAGGTAAACAAATATGGGTAAGTGTACTTTAATTTTATATGGAAACATTGAAATAAAGAGAATTATTATTGTATAATCTGCAATACAAAATGTTTATCTGTCTGAATACCCGTTTTCTAATCAGTAATTCATTTGAAGATTGTTATACCTGTATCATCATAATTGGTTTACTTCTGCATTTGTAATATTCCTTTTATTCCTTTTATAGTAATATACCAAAATCCAGACTCTTATATCATCTCTACAGAGAGTTTAATATGTAGCATGAATAAATATTGTAATCTTCTACTGATTTCCATTAATTACATCTTTCCAAGGACTTAGATTTGCTTTACAAAGTCCAAGGAAGTATCGCCAGTCCTATTCCGTACGGGCCTTTGTAACTTAAATGACAGGCCAAGGTCACAGAGCAAGCCACTGAGAAGCTTTGGTTCTGTTACGAAATTCAATTCCTGTATCTGTTGTCATAAACCATTAGTCTTGCTTGCCCTTCAAATAAGTACTCAAAATGATCTTTGTAACTTTTCTTTGTTAATATCTGTTGACTTCATTTAGGCTTAACTTTGTTGCTTTAAGAAAAAAAAAAAGCACATTTTGGAACTGTCTTTATGCAAATATATTTAGATTTATTTTTATTTTTTATCTTTTACTTCTGCTTGTAATTTAATACTTAACTGTTCCAACTGTTGCCTTCTCCAATTACTACAGTGTAAGACTAGTTTGCTTTAGTAGAATTCCCTGCGGCAGTTCTTATAACAAGAGATTCTTCATTTTCAAAGCATTTCTTCCACACTGCTACAAATGCATGTTCTGATAAATTAATATGATGAGGTCTAAATTTGCGTTTGGCCTTAAATGACTGCTTACTCTGGCATCTATTTAATACTGTAGGATTTCATTGATGCTGCACTTAAGCATTGCTATGCCATCAGACTACTGGCACTGCTTTTAAAATTAAGATTTAGGGTACATGTCCTTTCTCATACGTAGAGTGTGCCAGAACCAGCTTCTTCGTTACATAAGTCTAATCTGATGTTAGCTGGTATTCAAGTTGTAAAATCAAAGATTTTCTTCTCCCTCCAAACTTGCAAAATTTCACAGTATTCATTCTAGATTCTTCATTTTAATTGCTTATTTCTGGCTACTCTGCTTATCAGTATATTGTTGTTTGAATTTGCAAGTGTGTTCCTAAGTGAATTCCTGAAGAGAGAGCTGATGGTTCACATAATGGACGGTCACAATAGGGTTATACATTATATCTAAAAGCTATATTGTATGTGTAAAGAGCAAAAAGTTGTATATGAAACAAAGAAAGAGTAGAATTTAACCATGTGGCTTACTTTGAAGAATAACATTACAGAAGAAATAAGTTTTTTTTTTTTAAATGTTACTAATAAAATGAGAGGTAAGTGATTTGATGTTGTTATGGACTCTACAATACAGCAGCTTCACTGAACGATACTTGAATAGTGATTGGATGGGAAGCTTCATTGTTTCATGTAATCTACCTCCTGTTAACTCCACCCTGATAATGGAGGGTTACAGGATCCTTGCTCTTAGGCATTGCAAGTTGAACGTATGGAAAGGAAATTGAATGTGTCTATCTCCTTTTGCTGTAGGCCCTGTTAAAGGGAGACCTCTGAAGAATGGCTTCTTTCAGGTTCAGGCTTCTACGAATGCATTCTACAGAGATCATCACTTGATTCTGTCTGTTATAAAGCTTCCTGGTTAGGAATTAATGCCAGGTGTACGCCTTTGTGAGATATGTTTGGAAATTATAGTATTTACAATTATTTTAAGGGATGTTCTGTTTCTTTGATATTAAGCCCTTATCTATCAAAATAATCATTTGGATGAAGTTGACTTCACATCTGGAGAACCATTTTCTCATCTTTGATTTGATGGCTAAAGTGTGACAAATTAGTATCATAATTCTATATTTGTTATATCTTAATTCCTTTCAAAATCACTGTTTTCTGTATTTTTCTGTGTGATACATTTATGCAAGAATGTTAAAATATGTGATCTTGTTTAAAGTATCTTGATTCTGCATATACTTTGTCAGAGAAAGACTAGATAAACTAATGAAGTGTGGTTTGAATTTTTTTTTTTTTTAGAGGAACAGAATTTATATGTATATCTTCAACAATAAGTGGAACATATGTGAAGTAATCACTATGAGCTAATGATCTTCTATGAAGAGTACATTTAGTACTTATACTAAGATATGTTCTAAAGAGTACATTTATAAATTCAGATCAATTATGTACACTTGGAACTGGATGGAATATTCTAAGTTGTCAGTCTAAGTCCCCTGTTTTTACAAGGGTGAAATCACACAGTTTTAAGAAACCATATTTGCTGTTAAAACCTAGGGATTTTGTCTGCAGCATTTTGGAAAGGCCACAGTATATGCCCACTCTGAATATCTTTACAGATAACGCAATGCAATTTTGTTCTTGTGCCAGTTATCCTTCATCTTCCAGCTTGAGGCTCATCTTTCTGTAGCTTTTCTTATATAGAGCATTTCTATATATAGAAGAATATAGTGCCCTTATATAAAGCCCTTGTAGATGTTTTTTTTTTTTTCCTGCTTGTCAGAATAAGCTGAGTTCCTCTAGAGAAATTCTTTATGATTTTCATAATAAGCTACTTGTGCATCCATTCAAGTCTGAGTTTATATGTGTTGAACACAAGGACTTTGATTTGTATGCAGCGTTCCAGAGATGTCGTGAGAGCCCTATCTGGTGATACTGCTGCTTCCTCATCTCGCACAGAAAAGCACCCCTGATGCATCCTGAGTTGCATTTTTCTGCATGGTGAATGTCTTACATGCACAACTCGTAGTCTTGTGATCAATTGTTACACTTCAATCCTTAGCTTCCTTGGTCATGTCCAACTGTCCAAATGTTCTTATAGTTTCTTTCTTTCTTGTCTTTTCTTTCTTGTACACGACTTTGCAGTTCATGTTATATTTGAAGTGTAATATTTTTTTCTATATGCATATTAAAGTATAACTTTTTTTTGGACTTTTTAAATGAATGTTATGCACTGTTTTAAGAATATGTTTATTGTATAGTGTTGTATTTACATTAAACTTCCTTTTCTTTCTCAGTAGAAATACTGAGAAGTAGTAAAATTAGTAATGTAATGACAGGTCTGTAAATTTCATGCTGATAGAATTTGTCTAAGTTTTTAAGTTCTGTCTGCCTAAATATATAATTGCAAGTTAATAAATAATAGATACTCACTGAGAATTAGTTATATTTTGTTGATGATGGATAGGAATAATTCAGTCCTTTTCTATACTAATTGGGTTGTAACACTTTCTAGAGCATCAAACACAAAATACCAGAGATATTCTGAACAATCTTTTGACATTTTTATAACTTCTATATTTTCCTTTGTAGGTTGATTTCCTATCAAGAATTTTTGGCATTTGAATCTGTTTTGTGTACTCCAGATGCAATATTCATTGTTGCTTTTCAGTTATTTGACAAGACTGGCAATGGAGAAGTAACATTTGGTAAGAATATCTAAAGAAAAACAGTTTAAGAAAGCAATAATAATAGTATAGATTATAAGAACAGCTCATCACAACTAGAAATGCATATTGTGTAGTACTATACTGACTTTCTAAAAGAGTTTGCATGAGTATTTTTTTTTTCTTCCAAGTGATAAAACTTAAGAAATAAACGAAACAATTTGCTCTGTCTTTTTGAATCAAGATTTTTCATGTTCTTTAAAGTAGTTAATACAATGCTACTTTGTTCAGCATCATCCTAAGTAAAATTTTCCTGTCACGGACTTTGAGCTCCTTCGTTGTTGAGGGATTTTTAAAACTTGATTTGGATCTCCTGATATCTTTGGAGAATTGTCATTTCGTATAGTAAGAGTTCAAAATAGAAATGAAGGAGGTCTGATCTTTAGAGTTCCTAGAGCTTCTACTATTGAGGAACAAGTCTTACTTCAATATGATGTGTGTAACTTCTAGCTAGATCATGTATTTTCAAAAAAAAATTAGGAAGAAACTATGGCCTTTTAAGTGTTTGTTTGTTGTTTTTTTTCTAACACATTAGCAATTGGGCAAGTTTCTTTAGGCTAACCATATTGCTTTCTGATGATGCAAAATAACTGTTATTAACATTGCAGTTTAGGGAGTACTAGATTATATTTTAAAAAATTTGTATTTTTATTAAAATTAGATAAATCATTGCTAAGAATTTTAATAAAATGGAATGAGAAATAAATGTTATTTCTATACAAAAGAATAAACTTCTTAATAAAGAAAATACGAACTATGCTTGGATTTGTAACCACTTACTGCTTGTACTACTTTGTTTTTTATGAAAACGGTTGCAGCTTTGGAAAAAAAAAATTGAAATAATGCATGGGTCTTTGTATGAAACAAACTGCTTGAATTATGACATCTATTAAGTTATGTGATTAACTGAATGGTCAAATACTCAACAATTTAGACACAACATCTTGAAAAGAAAATCTCTTAGAACTTAAGTAAAGGTGAAGTCAGTAAATGTAGTCATTAGAATGTAGACAAACTATCGCAAGCAGTGTAACCTTATTAATCATGGTATGTTTAATTTCACAAAAGGGGGTATGCATTTTGTAGCTCATATGAACACACTTGAAATAGCTGGTTCTGTAAAACAACAAAAAGCAATTTAGGTTATATACAGATTCCTCAATCAGACTGAGAATCATTATTTGTATGAGCACGTCATTATCTTAGATGCTGAAAACACAACACAAGCAAGAGAAACAGCAAAACAAATATTTTTTCAATATCTTTCTCATTTTTTTCAAAAAGCTGATAAAAATTAGATAGCAAACTTCAGGGAATTTAAAACTTACTATTGGTCTCATGTTTTTGAAAAATAAATTTTATTGCAATTATGACTATATGTAATTGTAAGCTATAACCAATGCTACTTCTGCTTTGAATTTTTTTTTTTTTTCATTTTTATGTAGTTTTTAAAATGGGCTACTTACTTTTACTTGGGTTTTATGCAAATAAATGTATGTGGGGAAAAATGTGAATGATGATATATGATATTTTCAGATTTTGGTAACTGCAGTAAGTTTTCAAGTCAGTCTTGTTGCCTGTGAAGGCTGTCTTGTAAATGAGACCTGTATTCTTTCATTTTCATACTACATAAACAGAAAGGCACAGAGTTTAGTTTCATGTAAAGACAAGAGAATATATAAAACTAGGATTTTCCAAGGTCTTTAGAGGAAGGTGGTCATGGTGAAACATGACACTTTCTGTTCTGCTTTTTCTTCGAAGAATCCTTCCAAATAGCTATTGAGAAGAAAGGAAAGACAAGGTCTCTTCAGTTAGTAGAGAGAAATTTCTTCTTTGACTGAAGTAGAAAAAGTAAATGGTGTTATATTGTGAAACATAACATGTACAATATATACATTTCTGTAAACTAAAAGCTCTACATACTAACAGCTGAAAGTTGTAGTAAATTATTAGAAATATATAGAATATATATATAGAATAATGGAATAAGCTTAACCAATTAGTGTGAGAATTGCTATTAAACAAGTCAGCTCTCTTTTATTAGCGGGTAATTTATCCAGTCAGCAGATAAACCGTATGGACATACTGATTATGGAAGCAAACGTGTCAAGATTTTCTAGCTCAGATGCAACACTGTGAATGTGATTGTACTGATTCCAAAGCTACCTCGAGCCAGTAAGTCTTGCTAGAATTGAAAGTAATTTATTGAGATTTTCCTGCACTGTGTTTTTGGAGCAAGGGAAAGGGATGGAGGTGCTGGAGAGTGGAACACAGGATCAAATTGTGTCTGTTAGGCCAGTAACTTGAACCAACACTGCTCTTGCTGGATGTGAGATAATGTTGGTGTGTATTCAAGCTGGGCTTAAACCATAAAAGTAGAGGAAAGCTGTGCTGGCTCTGAATTTGATATTAAGAAGTACATCCGCACCATATTAAGAACTACACCTGCACCCAAGTTAGCCATATCCTCAGATCATTTGGGTATGACTGTATGGCATTTTCAAAAATTATCCTGATATAGTCAAATATTTCACTTATATGGAGAGAATTTGCTGATTCTTTAGACCCGTCACCGTGCTTGAAAGCAAGTTTTTCCAGGTGTTTTCACATCATCTGCTTTTTAGGATTTATTTACTGACATAGACCATACATGAACACTTAAGCTTCTTGCAGTTCTCTTTACCTTCCATATGACGCTTGACTCTGCAAAAGTTTAGCTTCCAGCTCTTCAGTTAGGAAACTATTAATTAAATTGCATTACAGAACAAACTCTTTCTTTTGAATTGACAAATAGAAAAGGGCAAGCAATTTTTGATCCTTTAAAAACTATTTGGTAGAAGTGTTGGCTATGCTGCATTAATCAATGTCTTTGTCTATGCAATATGGGTTAATTCAAACTGTTGAAGCAGGAAGCCTTCTGTATGCTGACTTTGTCACTTTAATGTCATCTACTTTCTTATTGCTTTGGGATATTTTTCCAGGAGTTCTGGACATCCTGAAATCCCGTATGAATGACTGCTATAGATACTCAGAGAGTATGCTGCAATATGTGTATAGCAGCTCCATTGCAAGAAAAATGAATTGGTCCTACTTTGTTTGAGCAAATTGGTTGCACAACATGTTTGTATTCTTTACATGTGTCAGCTGCACTGGACTACTTGTCAGCTTGCTGAATAAAAAGCAGTAATATGACTAACCCATTAATGCAAGCAGTGGTGTAATTTAAATTACCTTTTTAATCATGAAGAAATAGAAAAAAATCTTTCATACTTAAATGTTTGTATGTCTTCTTAAAAGATTGCTAGGTTACTATTTTCTGAGAAATGTGTTGCTGGTGATCCCTTACAATATTGCTTTAACCATGAAATATTTAAATGGTAACAGCCAAGACAGATAAGGAAAGGCTATTTTTTTTTTCCATGCATTATCTTTCTTGTTCTGGGTTGCTATCTGTAGCCAGAAAAGATAAGAAGCATTCTGCTCTTTTGATCACAGGATGTAACTGACCAAGCTACTTAACATGAGTGAATATTTAAAGACAGACCATGAATTTAATGCTGTTGCACAAAGGAAATTTATTTTTATTGGTATTCTGCAAAGGACTTTTGACCTGAATTCAGGTTAAAGCAAACTTATATATAAAATCTGCTCAAGCTACTTGGTGTGCTCTATTCTAAAACAGGTAGTCCTTACTGTGGTTAAAAGATGAAGTCTGTGACCATCACTGAAACTTCTCTCAAAAAATAGGTTGTCTAACTGGAAGTAAAAGGTTTCTTTATAATTCTTCCCTTCAACAAAACATACATCTGGACTGTATCAATTTTAATTGGAATGTACAATTGCAAGGCTTTTCCAGCTGTTCTTCCTTGTAGAGTTACCACAAAGAAAGCTATTCTCTGGTAAACTAGCATTTCAGAGATTGCTTTTAGTCAAATACCCATGCTAATGTGGATAGAAATACAGATCTAAAACAATGAGATTTTGAAACAATTTTACTGCCTTTCTGTTTGTGATTCTTCTGAGTTTTTGACTTATTTTTGAGATTATTGGAAAATATATACGAAACTAAACATAAGGTTTTCAAAACATCCTTCAGCTCGACATCTCACTAAAAATAATTATGCAGAGTATAGTGGCCTCTTCTTTCAAGACATTCTGGGTTGTAAAGGGATTGGATACCTATTAATGCAACTATATTAAACGTTACAATGATATTGGTGAATTGAAATAATAAATATCAATCTAACAAAATAGTTCCAGAAATTGAGTGTACTGTGATCTTGTCCTATTTTCTTAAACAAAATAATTATTTTGTAATATGTTTTAATGTGGGAAAGAATGTTCAGATTTCCCTTAAACATGGTAGACTTTGAAAATACTTGAAGAAGACGAGTGAGAAGAATAAGAGAAAGGAGTTGAATATATGTTGTTATAATTCTTTGCTTTTGAGTATTATTTTTCAGGAAGTGCAGATCATTGCTAGTACTCACTCCTCCGCCATTTCTAAAAGAGTAATAGGATTGAAAATGCAAGGATTTGGAGATAAGAGTTATGATTTATGAAATATTATTTGTAAGCTTTAAAAGAAAACAGAAAAATCTCATAATTGCACAACTGTGGATCTGAGGATGTAAGAAAAACGCTATGTTCATACCAAGTGTGCAGTAAACTAAAGCTACTATTTTTCTTGGCTTTCTGTTTGCCATATGTTAGTTGCCTGTTTTCAAGGTGTCTGTTGCCTAATGCATGCAGATAATACAGAAAATGACTATAACTTTCTTTTGTTGTCATGTTGTTTGGTTGTTGTTGTTACTTCTTTTCTGGTGTAAGATTCTGGTTTAAGCCACAGATACTTAAATACTTGTGAGCAGCGTAGGATGGGAGACCATTCTTATTTATTATAATAGTAAATAGCTTAAGAACATAAAGAGATCTCAAATGTTCTCTATAGTATTAAGTTCAAAATCATAGTTCAGCAGGAGGAAACAGGAAAGGAGAACTTCACATTAAAGTTATATATATTGACAGTTCATTATTATGCCTATTATGTCGCTAATCTTGATCTTAATCAGAATCACTGATTAAATCTTTTAAAATAAGAGAAATACAAGGCAATTATTTCTAGTGTAGCTTTCTCACTTTTCCTGCTACTTGTCTTTTTGCTCTCACCTCAAAGTAATTATTGTATTTATATTTGGAACACTGTTAGTATACTTCTGTTGCAACAGACATTAAAAATGTCTCCTTGCTTTTACTTGTGATTTTTCATTTTGTGCTGAAAGTGAAAATACATGAAATGTATTCTTTTAGCAGAAATAGTTTAAAAAAAAAAAAAAGCATAGAAAGCATTAAATGCCTTACGTGCATTGAGGCTGAAATATATACGAATGAGGCCTTAAATGACTGAGTAGACACATTAAAACACCCTCTTAAACAACAAACCTCTGGTATACTTATGCTAGTACTTCAAACTATTTTATTTCCTTTTTTTTTGTCACTAAGAAGCATGATTGATGTTGCATCACTTGTGAGAGGGAATGGCAAACTCTTTACAGTCTGATTACACTGGAAATTTGTGAGGTTTTCACTCTGCATTTTGGGGAGCTTTTAGTAAAAATAAATGATAGATATCGCATCAAAGTCCACATGGTTTCATGAGCTCATCTCCACCATGAGGGGGGCCAAAAATGTTTGTTCAAAGATACAAACTCTAGCAGTATCCTCTGTGGATTTAGATGTGTAATGCTCTGTTCAGTTGTGTTGGTGTTCTGTTACATCTCATCCTCATCAACAAAATATCTTGGTGTTTATAACTTGAAGTTGTCTTCCCCTTTCTCTGAAATTCAGTATTTTCCAAAAGAAACCCCTTGTTTTTCTTGTATCATTTTTCTGAGCCTGCTAGGTAATGGTGTTGATGGAGGTTGTGCCAGTCGTGTGTATGCTGCTTGCAGATAGCTGCTCCAGGCATCTGTAATTTGTTTAAAATGATTGGGTGGGGAAATTCTGAAGCAATCTTGAGAGAATGCATGTTGCCTTGGAGGTAATGTACTAGTGCACTAGAGTAGTAGGTTTATTGTTCCTGGGGCTGATGGTAAGTTGAGTGTGTCATCAGGATGCTGACTTGTATGCCTGTCTGAGAAGAAAATGCTTTGCTATAAGCTCAGAAAGAAAGTTATCAGCTCAGTAGGAAGAATTCCACTGCAGAAAGGTGAGCAAAGAGTAAGAGAAGACACTAGTAAATGAGCAACGTGTATTGACAGGGACAATGAATGCATTCTGTAAAATGTCATACTAAAATGAAAGGGTTTAGAAATAATTTGCTGTTTGCCCCCTGCAGAATAGCTCTGTTGGAAATTCCTGTAGTTTATTTTAATTCAGAAGCATTACTGGGTTTTGACTGAGTGAGATTAAAAAATAAAATAAAAAAGAAATACCTTTACTGTAACACTTAAGTTTTATTTGTTATCATTGCTTTGCTTATGCTGTGAAAAAAAAATAATTGAAAGTCAGATGTGGTCACAGTTCAAAGTGGTCAAAGTGCAGATCATGACCACACTGTGCATTTCTGAAATCTGATTGTCCATTTGCATCTTTTCTCATCATGGAGTTGTTTGTAGTAGTGGTGGTTATTTCCTTTGAAATTAGAGAAAAGCCAACAAAATTGGATTAAAGAAGCTATTCTTGATATATTGGAGAAAGCATTGCTAATCTTGGGTAGAGAAGTAGTAAATTTTAGTGCTTACTGGAGATGTTTGAGAATCCCAGACCAGTTTGGAAAAGTAGAGTTTCAGTGGTCTTAACTATGTCAGTTATTTTCAACTGTTTTTATTTACAACTCATACACAGTTTTGGTCCTGCACCCCAAATGTTTCATAAACAAAGCCAACATGTCATTAAGCTTTAGATACAATAGTATATCTTAAAACACAGACTGTAACAAATGCAGTATATGTTGGTGATTGTCAGATACTGCTGATTGAAGAAAAATGAATAAGGAGTCTGAATTTTCAGAGAAGCAACAGTCTAATTTGGATACTATTTTTTAAAGCTAGCTAGCCAGTATTGGGATTCTTCACATACCAGTACACTCAACTATTGAATGTAAATTTATTACTTCATTTACCAGTATTATTTTTATGTGCTGAAAAATATCAACCTATGATGTTTTGATGACTAGTTATAAGTTTCTTTAGGAAGGAAAATCAATACTGTGGGAAAATAATCCTCAGTGGTTTAAGTCATACACATTTAAATGCTTGAGTGAGAGCAAGGAAAATTCCAGTGGCTTCAGTCTCATTAAAACTTATTGGAAGATTTGTCTATATGAACATGTATGAATAATTTCATATAAGAAAAAAGTGAAACTTTTTTTTAAACCTTCCTCTGACATCGTGAAATAATTGTTGGAAATAATTGAAATACAATTTAAATTTTTTGGCTGCTTCAGTAAGTTTTTTTCCTAAATTTGCGTTAGAAGAATTCAGTATTTTAAAAGCAGTCAGTGTTACAGATGTTTAATCACTAGCTGATGCCCTGGTTGTACCTAGTAGCCAAGCCAATAGATCCAATTAAGCAGGCCAGTCTTCTGTTCCATTCACAGTTCAGTGCCATTTTGCAAGTTCAACAGAGGGCTGCATTGATCTGTTTGTAGTACATGCAGACTCGAGGTAGTTTGGTTAGAATCCACAGTGAATCAGTAGGAGGTGGGGAATTTAAATTTACCTCTCCTGGCTCCTTGATCTCTAGCAATGGTGAATAAACCTATTACAGAAAAAACTTTCAGAGGAAGTGTGGCAAAATAAAGCAGTTTAGTGCCATGTATTTGACGTTCCGTCTCATTTTAATCACTGTGTATTAGTGAGTAGATATGAACAGTTGCAAGTAGTCAAGGTTTTTAAGGTTCCTGCTTACCTGAACACCTCATTTAGCCTACCTTGCATTGGAAACTATGGTTTAAGTAGCAGTTCTTTGTTGTCTGTGTTCAACCTGTAAGGGCTAAAATACAGTTAAGTCACTCACTAGTCATAATCCTTAAATAAGCAATCTTTAAATATACATAGCTCTTTAAATATGCAATCTCAAACTATCTGTGGAGCAAGTGATCTAGCCAAAGATCCTACTGTGTGTGTTCCTGTTCTGAAACATACTTGTTCTGAATATTTCCCTTACTTTCTTCACTGAAAATATAAAACCATATAGTCATTTACCCACTGCTAGAATAGCTACAGAATTGAAAGGATGAATTGAGCAGTCTCTTAGCATAGAGATTCACTCGAAATAAACACATTCATTTGAAATAAATAGTTCTTAATGGCAAATGATATCAAAGTTCTTCTGATTACATTCTGTCGTCTTTTAAAAGAACTGTTTAATAGTTCCGTGGTATGCCTTTAATGCAGCTGATACTCATGCCACTCCAGTGTTGAGCAAATTATCTAAACATATTACAAAAGAGGTGTGTTTTCAGCTAAAATAATGTGTATTTTGTTTTAAATTTGAGCTATATGCCATATTTTATTTTGGTTCTTAGCAGGTTCAAGATTAGCTGATGAATGCTAAAGTCAGTTCAGGTACTTTTGAGGTAGATTTCAAAAAGGGTTCACAATGCATTCATAGATGTCCAGTTATACTGTTTATTTGGTCAGATAATCTGCACAAAAAACAGGCTTGTATTGCAGAGTGGTAATGCTATATATGAATAAGGCAAGCCTTTTTTCTCAGATGCGTCTTTTGATTGAATTCAGATATGGTAGGCACTGGTATTGCAGTTGTACAGTATGCATATGGAGAATTCCATATTCTGAAATGACAGGATTTTTTTTTTTCATTTAAAAGAGGACATCTCTGTCTTCACTTACCTTAAAACATTTTAATAACTGAGACTACAAATTATGTTTTATAGGATTTGATTTTTGTGCTAAGGCCTTATCAAAAGCTTTTAATAAGGTGCTTTCTGCTGAGTTAATGATATGTTTTAAATGGCATTTCTTATACCTATCTTCAATAGACATATTCAGACAGTGTGATTGTAATAATCAAGTTTCAATCAAACCATACTTACTATGACAAATATTGCATGAGATTGTAATGCAGGTATTCGTGCTCTTGATAAAGGGCTTAATTTGACTCCTGGCAGAGATGGAGAACCACTATTGATTTTTGTATCAGAATGCAAAATAGCTCTTATTTGTCATGTACAAGGGAAATTGCTTCTTAATTAAAACTAAATAAAACACTCCAAGGTTTTATGGAGTAATACAGAAAGTATCACATTGCGTAGCGAATGTGTTCTTTCAAAAGTCTGTAAAGGCTCTGTTAGCGATTCTTAACAAACTAAAGCATTTCTTAAACAGCTGCTTAGAACTTAATTTGTTTGTATCCTTCCTAGAATGTTTGTAGATTTACTATACCCCAAAGCTTACTTCTTGTTTTTTCCCTCCCACAAAGCAAATGTCAAAGAAATATTTGAACAAAGTACTATACATCTTCAAATCCCCTTCAACTGGGACTGTGAATTCATTCGACTGCATTTTGGACATAACAGGAAGAAGCATCTTAACTATTCAGAGTTCACTCAGTTCTTGCAGGTCAGTTATTAACCTTCTTTTAAAGCACAGTTGAAATTCATTTTCATCTCTAATAATACATTTATACCATTATAAATTTTGAGCTTATTCTGGTAATGATTGTCATTATCTGATACTAATCCTAACAGTTACAGTGAACTATTATTTCTCTATACCAGTTCTGTAAGCAGTATTTACTCATTGTACTTTAACTTGAATATCACCCTATAAATACATGGAATTAAATATACTTTTTAGGAAATTGACTGTTTCGTTGATTGTTAAACTGGATTGAGCAGTCTACTTTTTTTGTCATAGGAATATGATAGCAAAACTAACTTCAACCAGAGAAAGATTACATTCTTGTTATAATTGTTCTGTTAACTATGTAGTCTTCCAGGTAAAGTTATTAGATTGTTGAACATTTCTTTTAGTTCTGTAAATATAATCCTAATACTTACCCTTATACTACACGTATATTGGGAGTTTAGTCTTAAATGCAGCCAAATTTGCAGGAGGCAAATCTGATTTTCTGAGATGTTGCTGAAGCAACATCTATGGATAAGGCATTAAAAGATCTCGCTCTTAGAACTGGACTTTGTTCTAAGCCGAAAAGTTACAGGAAAAACATATGAATTAATCATTATACTAGAAGGAAGTAAAGGAAGACATCAATTATAGAGGAAGGTAGAAGAGTAAAGTAGGAGAAATGTATGTTATAATTCAAGAGAAGGAAGTTCACAAAATTGTAGGTAATCACACTGAATTCTGTAAGTTAAGATGCAGTGATCGCCTGATTATGTTACTTCTAGTTTTCTCTCTAGTAGACCTGAGGAAAAATAGATGATGTATTTCCAGAGCTGACCCTTTACAAAATAACTTCAACATACTGTCTTAAAAGTAGGGAGTGATAGATGTGCTCTGGTTTACACTGTAATTATTGTCCAGAATTAAAGTAGATCTAGAGTGGATTCTAGAGAATTGTGACTTGATAGAATCTGAAATCTATCTTGTAAATTGAGATTCTGGAGTTAGGCATAGTCTTCTAAGGGTGTAGCGTAAGTTGGTGTTACTTTCAAGGAATAAACTGTGTCCTGCCTTTGATGCTACATATTTTAAGTGATCCCAGACACAAACTGGGGACACAAGTGCACAAACAACAACAAAACCAAAACCGAACGGATTTCTAGTAAGAAGCATCTTTTTGCTGTTGAGCCCAGATCAAAATGATAAATATCTGATTTTATGTTTGTTGTTCCAAAAAACTGTCTTGTAAGATACAATAACCTTGCTCTCATCGTATAGTTAAAAAAAAAAAAAGACTCTTAGTACATACACATAGTATGGACTGCAGGATTTAAAAGATGTACATGAGTTTGATATTCCTGTCCCTCCCTTTAGATTCCTCTTCATAGTCTTGTCTTACGGGGCTTGGGATTTAGGGTGCAGAAAGCCTGCTGTGATCTGATCGAGAAAACCTTAATCTTGAGGTTACAAGACTTGAGAAATTACTGTAAAGGTGATACAAGCTCAGTAGTTTGCCCTCTTACTGGCTGTCACAACATGGTTATTATTTTAGCTGCTTCTAAAGGTCTGAATGACAGCTGAATGTGCTTTATTGTTTGCTTGAATAGACGGAAACAAGTTTTTCTGGACATAGAATTTACAATCATCATTATTATATTAAGGTTAGGTTACTGCATTGTGCTTTATATGAAGATTTTTTTACAGATTGTATAGGAGTGTTAAATTGCCTGAAATGAGTGACCATTTCTGACAATATGGGAGGTATCTGTTGGGCAATCTGAAACTATATTATATAATCTTCACTGTCCTCCTGTTCATTTTCAAATACTTCTTGGTTATTTAATTTGTAATACCCCAATCACAATTTAATATTGGACATGAAAGAGATCAGTTCCCTTTGAGTCTTTCAGATCAGTATTAGAAGTTTCTCTACCAGGTAAGTATTTAATAAAGGAATATGTAGCAGCCAGGACATGGGTATGTGAAAGTTACTTCTCAAATCATTTAGCGTTAAGTGCAAATTTCTTTACAGTTGAATAGGGGCTTTTCTATGACAGAGGAATGAATCTGTGCATGAAATGAATCATTGTGCAGACTTCTTATTTTATTTGGGCTGGATTGTAAGTTTAAACTGCAGTCTTTTTGTGGTATATATGCACAAATATATTCAGGCATGCTGTAAGAATACAAAATGAGCAACATTTGTGTGAACGGTGAGTTACAGAATTTGCTAATATGCTATTTCTAAATACTAATTCTAGGAGCTGCAGTCAGAACATGCAAGACAAGCCTTTGCAATGAAGGACAAAAATAAAAGTGGTATGATTACTGGGCTGGACTTCAATGAAATCATGGTTACCCTTCGCTCACATATGCTAACTCCATTTGTGGAAGAAAATTTAGTTTCAGTAAGTCTGAAGAAAAGTGCCTTGAGTTCAGGGTTTAATAGCTGAAATGTCTTAAAATGTTACTGATTCTCTCCCACTTTGTCTATTCCTACCTGCTTATTGGTTTCTCAGTGCTAGAGATTATTCCCTTCATAATAGAGCGGGCAGAGCACGGAAGTACTCCTTGGATGCAGTATTGGAAAAGTTTGGCAGTGTAGTTCACACACTTAAAGTGCTATTGGAAGCAGTTTGAGTTAGTCTACTATGCTTTCCCCTAAAGCAGGGCGAACTATACTTTGCACAGAAAGAATATTAATTTGGGGCAAAAGCCTGACTGATATGACATACTATCTCTCTGTAGGATTTATATTATGTACTAACTGTAGGCTTTGAAATAAATGGTTGTTGCTGTACCTGGTATGAGAAGCCAGTCACTGCCTTTATCTAAAGCAGTGGTTACATGCATATCTCTATTAGAAAAATAGTCAGTTACCATTTAGACTGTGTATCAGATACGTTGAATAATAGTACAAGAAAGATGTGGACCTTATAGAACAAGTTCAGAGGAGGGCCACAAAAATGATCAGAGGACTTGAACACTTCTATGTAAAGATGCTGGGAGAGTTTCTTGCCTATAGAAGAGAAGTCTCTGAGGAGACCTCTTTGTGACCTTTCAATATATAAAGAGTGCTTATAAGGAATACGGTGAAAAATTTTTTACCAGGGCCTGTATTGACAGGACAAGAAGAAATGTTTTTAAACTGAAATATATATATATATATATATATATATATTTTTTTTTTTTTTTTTAAACCATGAGGGTGGTCAAACCAGTGGAACAGGTTGCCCAGGGAAGCTGTGGATGCCACATCACTGAAATTGTTCAAAGTCAGGTTGGACAGGGCTTTGAGCAACCTGATTTAATAGAAGATATCCCTGATCATGCTAGGGGAGTTGACCTTTGAAGGCCATCTAGTCCCTTTCTAACCCAAACCATTCTATGATTCTATATGAGTATTTCCTGATCATTTCATAATATTCAGTTTGTACAAAGAAAAAAAAAAAGCATCCTGTCTAATAATTTTCCCCTCATATTTCTATTAAAAATAGCTTAGAATTACTTTTGTCCATAGGTTCATGCCCGGTGCACCCTGCCAATACATGGAATTACAGGAATAGAAAGATATCTTTAATACTGTCCTTATTTGCCCAAATGGTTGTTTCTGTAATTTGTAATAAGATGTTGTTAAAAGCCTTAAGGTACTTAACCACATTCATTTAACTTTTAAAGGTAGCTGGTGGAACTGTTTCACATCAGGTCAGCTTCTCCTACTTCAATGCTTTTAATGCCCTTTTGAATAACATGGATCTCGTTAGGAAGATATACAGCAATATAGCAGGTATAAGAAAAGACGTTGAAGTCACAAAAGGTAAAGTATATTTCCTGCACTTTATTAATTTCTTAGTTGTCTCCAATCTGTAATCCAGTAGTGCATATACGGTAAGGCAAGTCAGGGCCTGCATAGATTTAGCACTTAGCACAAGGTTAGCACTATTGTATAGGTGTTTAAAGGGTGATTTTCATCCTGCCAGGTTAGGAAGGATTTTCAACCAGATCATTAAGGGAGAAAAACTGGGACTCTGGCAGAAACCTTATTGGCCTTACTAGTTTGAATGGATATCTGCAAGACAATATATTATTGAGGATTTTACCACCCCATGAAAGATATGCATGGTTTCTTAGAGATGAGGTACTTAGGAAATAAGATAGAATGGATTAAGTTTGAAAATCCATTATCAGTAATCTCCATATTGTTTAGCTCTAGTTACTTTATCTGTGATTAAATCTTTTTTAGAAAAATGGTTATAGTAAATAATTCCTTAGTGTTTATGGACCTGAGTGGTTTTACATGAAGTTTATGTCTATATTTAGGACATAGTTAATACCTGTACGTACAAAAGGTGGCCATGTGTCAGTGTTGATGCAGGCATGAGTGGATTGATTTTGTAGTGATTTTATGACAGATTTTATCATTGATTTTATTACATGTGTGGATGGGACCAACCAAATCTGACTGTGATAAAAAGCATGCCAAGTTCCTTCTTTGCTTGGCTTAAGTTCATATGGTCTGCATACCTTTCACCCCTAAAGAAAAGCATAAAATGCCTGTCCTCATACTCCAAATTGTGCTAACAAATTACCTAGCTTATTTATTTATTTATTTTTGATTCAGATGCATAAATGTATCTTGGCTGGATTTGTGTTGTGAAAATTGCTACTGTGTTTCCAGTGCTAAAACTTGTTTATTGTAGCTTGGCAATTATGTCATGAACATGTCATGTAATTTGGCTAGATAAACATCTAAATTTGGTGTCATTGAGAGCTAGCAGTTAAAAGAAACGTGGATGTGAAGGCGATAAATGAGTCAGTTGCCCTTAAAAGCCGTGAATATCACTATTCTGTTCTGTTTTGCAGAACTTCAGAAAAAAGAATCACATATTGTGTGTGTGGTGTTATTAACCTTACTAGAATGAGGATTTTTGTTGACTTTGATGATGAATTCTTGCCATGAATCAGAGTTGTGCAGTCAGATTTCCTCTATGTCTCTAGAGGCCTGATTCAATATCCTCCTGAAAATATTTTTTCCATTTGCAATATGGATTTTGCTCCTTGGTGATAGGTCTCTCTCTTTTTTTTTTTTTTTTAAATGATAATGAAGTTATTTGTGAAAGTTGTGTATAAAGAGGAAATCTGACAAATAACACAACTGCTTTCTCTTTCCCTTTTAAATCCAGAGGAATTTACCCACTCTGCAATCCGATTTGGACAAGTTACACCACTGGAAATAGATATTCTCTACCAACTTACAGATTTATACAGTGTTACTGGGTAACTTATAATAATTAATTTTATCATTTAATAATGATATTGCTGTTCTCTATGCAAAAAACCCCTACTCATTTTCATCTTAATTTAAAAAAAATGAGTGTCTTGTTGTATTTCTTTACAATAATTTATTTAATGTAAAATGAGTTCGGTGTATGCATGGATTTTCTAATTGAATTGTGTACATCAAGCATAGGTATTAATTTTCATATTATAGGTATACATTTAAAATAGCAAAACAAATTACTGTAATCCCCAAAGGCTATAATACACTGGTATTTTTAACTTTATTGATGTTTCAGGAAAGTGTTCGCATGTGGACTCTTGGATAGGAACACCTACCCAATTGTATTGTTTAATTTTGATTGGCAAAATGGTTTAATTTGTGAATTATATCCTTTATTACCCTTTATTACTAGTAATCAAGGACTCCTGAATAATCTGAGGTCCCTTTATCTCCACTTAACAGCTCTAAGAAGAGAATGACCTTCAAACTCCAAGAATTCTTTATGGCAGCATAGCAGAATTCTTAGATCTGTATTCAAATATGACAAGTGTTTTTTTTAAACTCAGGATGTATTCTGTGAGGTGTGGCCAGGAATACTGTATTGAATATGTTTATTTTATCTAACAGTAATTTACTTTCCTCTGTCTTGTGTTAAGGCGCTTAACTCTGGCAGATATTGAGAGAATAGCACCGCTGGCTGAAGGTGCATTACCTTACAACTTGGCAGAACTACAGAAGCAGGTAGGTAGAAGTGACATATATATACAAATAAAATTGCTGAAAAGAAGTGCATGTTTATGTACATGCATATGAAAAGTTTAAAAAAACAAAAACAACGTACTTAAACAGATACCAAAGATGCGGAATGTGCTATAGGGATAGAATTAGGACACAATATTGAGTGTGTTTCTAAACAAGATACTAGATGTCATATTGAATGATGGCCTATTCAGATAAAAGAATGTATAGAAACTTGGATTCACTTCACTTCACAATCTAACATTGTAATTATACAATTAATTAAAAATAGTAAAATATATGAGTATTAAATGCAAAGCTTATAAATGTCGTCTTTTTTTGAAAAATGTGATGAAACAATTGGCTTAGCCATTTATTTAAACAGATCATTGAATTTTACTCTACTTCCTGGCTCTCTGAGCTAGACAGTGGAAGGGGAATTCAGCTTTATTGAGATTGATGAAAAGGGTAGAATTAGAAGATGGAAAATAACAGTAGTAGAAAGTTAACCTGCTGTTTTACCAGACCTTTACAGTTATCGCTCTATTTTAATACACGCATATATAGTACAGCATAAGAGTCCTAGACTGTCCATTAGGATTTTTAATATAAATTGTTTCACACTTTTATGGTTATTTGTACAACTGTAAAAAATAAAGAATTAGGACCAAACATTGTGCAAGTCTGTAGCTTATTGTTTAGACTTTCCATTATAGTTACTGGGTACCATACTGCCCACTATCAGGAGTATTGTTAGCAAGTTTACATGATAAGGATGTCTAGATTTGGAGGCTTTATCTTCTGTTTGGTTTTGGTTCAATATGTAATTGAGAAGTTTTCTTTTGCAAGCAGATATGTCTAATGCTAGTTAAGCTGTGATTTAAATTTTACCTTAACCTTCTTCTAAGGTTGAATCCAAGTACTACTGATATCAAAACTAGCAACTTGATGGGAAGTCTCTTTTGCTGTGCATAGAAATACTCCGTTCTGTTCTTTTTTATTTTGGGTATATGCTAGGGGAATCCTTCTTCTGAAGCATTTCGTAGGTGATTGTTCTCAGTAGGGTTACTCAGAGAGGGAATTAACTCAAGTGTTAATAATGTAAAGCTAATTATGCAGTCAAGAAAATCCTTGAAACAGGTACACAGCAGATTCAGAAAGGAAGACATACGTACATGGTGAATTACGTGGTTACATAATTATTCAATACACAGATCATTAACACATTGGTATTTATTATGCAAAACAACAAAAAAGGTAGGATATGATCTTAGAAGTTTCTGATGCACGATCTTTTATTTATTTTTACTGTTAGAACTTCATAAGGAAGTACAATTCCACATAGAGCTGTACATTCCCAAGTAAGCTTTACAAGAGAATACAGTAATGTCCAGTGTTCATCTGAACCAGGGCGTTTTGCTCCAAGGATGTCTCCATATCCTTTTTCTCTCTGTAATACATGAAGAAGGGTAGGATATCTAATTCTTAACATCTTGTATGAGTGAATCTCATAATTCTGACTAAACACATCTTTGTGTACTCAGGAGAGAAATACAGTTTTTCATTGTGAAGGTTTTTCCTACAGTGTCTGAACAACTCCAGTTCTCTCAGTCAGTGTTAGAAGTTTGTGGTGCCCATGAAGACACCCAAGGGCTCTGATTCCCAAGTATGCGAAGCCTGGTGGAGGTTGAATTCTGCTCACAGCTGCCTTGATTGATACACAGACAGTTGAGCTTCTAATGAATCAACTGCTATACTGCCACATCCAGCAGCTCAGCCTGTATGGTGAACTGAAGCTGGTGATGACGTGCATTATAATACTTCTCCTAAATTGCAGTGATTCAGCAACTGATTCCCAAGTAGCTCAGTCATCTGGGTTGTTGGGGCAGGAGGGCAGACAGCTGCCAGTAGTGACCTGGCAAATCCAAGCTACACCATCTCCCAAAAGGTGAAATTCAGTTCCTCTACCCTGTACAGATAGTACTGCAGTAAGGTGTTCTGAGTTAAAGCAGGCAGCACAGTGCAGTGACAAAACCACCTATGCCTTGTTCACCATGTGAGAGTCCTGTATTTGCCAGTGGATGAGGGTCCCAGGACCCTCAATAAAAGCTTGTATATACAAAGCCTGTCCTTTTTCAGCTCACTTTTGTACATGCTACAATGAGTTTCCTCTAAGTAGGAACCTTTCTATCCACTAGAAAATCTAGGATACATCTCAATGACAGGAAAATCTTGAATTAGTTCAACTGCTGTGGTGAAAACATTCTCCTACGTAAAATATAGGTAGTATGTGGGACTTGGAATTTATTCTGTTTACTCTTGTGACAGCTTGGTCATCCAGTTGTCTTTCAAACAAACTCATCTGAAACACAGTGTCTGATCTGTTCTTAATGTTACCGTTCTGTTGTCCTTAAGGAATTAGACGTATCTGAGGCAATGAGATACATGTATGTGTCCCAACCCTACTTAGCGGTAACGGTCTTCCTATGGATTCCTAAAGACAAGAATGACGGAATTAATTGATGCAGAGATGTGTATACGTTTGTCCAGACTAAGGAGAAGTATTTTTTATGAAGTTTCATAACTGCATTCTTAACTGCCAGCTTTAGTTTTAATCAGTGTTTTTGTGGCACTCACTTTTGTGAGTAGATTATTAGGAAACAAAATACTTGTCTCGTTGTATTTTACACATCAGAATTACCTGTGTAGCTCGACACTGTTATGAAATAAGCTCGCTGAAAAAAGTGTCACTCCTCACTAGAACATATTCTTTTCATGCTCTTGCAGTAATACATTATGCTTTCATCCTGCTCTGTGTTCTGTGTTAACAGCGCACAGCAAAAGGAAAGTTCTTTCATTTTCTTCATTTTATAAGGAGCGGTCTTTTACTAGGCCTTATCCTAAGTTAATCTTTTATTACCTGATGTTGTGGTTTAACCTGGCAGGCAACTAAGCACCATGCAGCCATTTGCTCACTCCTCTTCCCCATAGTGGGATAGGGGAGAGAATCAGGGAAAAAAAAAAAAAAAGGTAAAACTTGTGTTGAGATAAAGACAATTTAATAGGACAGAAAATATGTCCAGCTAGGGCTCAAGCAGGGCACCACAAGAAGCTGAAGAGTCCTTGGCTCTGTATGAGCACTGCTCTGCAACAACTAAAACATTGGTGTGTTATCAACATTGTTCTCATACAAAATCCAAAACACAGCACCATACGAGCTACCAGGAAGGAAGTTAACTCTATCCCAGCTGAAACCAGGATATTTAATTTAACTGTATTAATACAATGAAAGATACCCATTTGTGAAAGAGAGAATATCATTCCAGTGAGGTTCAGCTGTCACTAGAAAATGAAAACAAGTCTCTAATCACTTCTATATGGTTTTAAGATCCCTTCTAAAAGGAAAATTAGATTTTTACATGAACTCGCTCCATCTTTGTAGATTTGGTGGAAATGGAAATTAGTTTGCTTTCAACCGTGTTTACTTTATTGTCAGTTTTTTTCATTGTGTAAGATTTTCTTAAAGCCTGGCAGCTGAATATCCTATGGGGATGACAGCTACAGTAATTTTCTGTTTATAAATATTCATGATTTGAAAGCTATAGCATTAATTACATTCATTTGCATATCCATCTGAACACACAAGTAAACTGCAAACTTTGTGAACGCTTATCTAATAATATAAAAGTGACATTTCCTTCACAAAGAATTTGATTTTTAACATCCAGTGATGTATTCATTAAGATTTATGTCTGAATGTAGTGACTGGATTTTGATGAGAACTCTGGAGCTTCATAGAAAAAGAATAACCTTAAAACAGCTAAAAGGAAGCAGGTGTGCTAATGTACCAGAAGATTTTTGTGGAATGAAGAACCAGTCCTGTTTCATTTCTAAGTCTTTTGGGGGTATTATTATTGCACGAATCTTTTAATTACATGAATCAAAAGATACCCCTGTATTTTGGAATTTATTTTTGTGACTATTTTGTTGTGATTTTTTTTTAAATCAGGAAAATTTAGTGTTTTGAATAGTAAATTTTTCAGATCTGTTGTTTTTCTTTACATTTCATTTGATTTATGCTTTTTATTTTTTTAATAAACTGTTCCACATGTACAATTTATAATTTTTGTGCTATCCAGATTTTTTCTGTTTTCTCTGTTAAGCTGTATTGTTGGGGAGGAAAACATCTTGTCGAAGAAAATGGTAAAAGCTGTATCTTTTTCTTCTGTGGAAAAACAATATATTTTTTACTAGTAAGGAATGCATCTTAATCTTACAGGCCTTTGTCCTATATTGTGTACACACAGTGTAACATTATACAATAAAGGCACATTTTCGCACATTCAGTGTCAGCAACCCTGTTTGTACCAGCACAAACAGGGTTGCTGACACTGCAGAACGTGCTGTCTTTCTGTGGATGTTCCACTTTTCAGAGCCTCAGTAAGCTGAACATAAATGAGTTAAGAAGCCTTGGTGAATTAGCTGTGAAATATCTGTGTGAAATAATCTTTGTGGAGAATTCAAAACGTGCATCGGGGCAAATCTCTCTGTAGCTTCTGAGGTCCATATCAATCCCAGCTGTGCTGTCTGAAATGCATCTGCAAATGATACAGGTTGCTACTAAGGACAAAAAGGTGGTTGTGTTTGGGAGGTGGGCTTTATTTTGTTTGCTTTAATATGGGTTTTAACTTCTAGTATTTTGGCTAGTTATATAACTGAGAGAAGTTGTACTACATAATATAAATTCTTCTCTAATGCCCTTATGTATGCTCAGAAGAAAACTTGGATCATTTTGTGTACTTCACTGTGCAAGTTTCTGAATACTTACATCTTGTTTATCAGCTATTATATCTAATAAACATCTAATAATATGGTTATGAATCTCTATAAATATTTCCTGTAGAGATTTGTATTTATTTTAAACCCTAACATATTTATAATAGTGTATGTGATTGAAGTGAGTGAGGTCATCATTGTGTCTGTAAGTCATCAACTGTTTGAAAAAGTCTTGCGGACAATGCTTTGGGGAATAATCGACTTTTTTTTTTTGCTTGTTTTGAAGGTATTAAATGTCATGTTTATGTTATGTGGCAATGTGTATGTGATCTTAAAATATTTTACCATGATGATGGATGGCGCCTGTGAGATACAGTATTCTTTTTGAGATACTGAGTTTTATTTGAGACAAAGGGGGGTTTCCAGGCCTTGCAAGTTCAAAAGCAACAGAATAAAAAATAACAAACTTGATTTCTATATCTATCTACTTTGTCTTGACCACAGTTTGTTGTTGTTGTTGTTATTTTACCAGGAATGTGTAAGGAAGAACATGTTATGAAAGGCGTGTTTGAAAAATATGCTTTACTCATTAGGGATCATGGAAGTTAGATGAGAATGACTTTTTGTCTCCTTAACATAAAGCTACGAATTTTTATCACATTCTTTCCTTAACTTCACAAAAGCCAATTCATAGGCATCTTTGTTTTCCCATGCAGGTTTTGAAGTATCATTTTTTCTTTTATTTTCTTTACACAGCAATCTTATGGAGAGTTAGGCAGGCCTATCTGGCTCCAGGTAGCTGAGTCAGCTTACAGGTTCACTTTGGGCTCAATTGCTGGAGGTGAGTAATTTGTCTGGTTCCTATTTTCAAACCTGGGTTAGTAGTCTGTCTTGTCAGACTACATGGGATCATCTCAAGTGCATTTCTTGGTTATATACATGAAGAATTGGAGGGCGGAACTACTTCTGGTTATGCCATTCCTTTATCGCTTCTGTTCTAGTATTCCTCACAAACAGCTGAAACCCTTCAGTAACAAATTTATTTACTGGTAGTTCTCATTGCTTCTTTTCCTGATTTAGTTGTCTTTGTTCTGGACACATGGTTTTATACAATATATAATAAATCCATTCTCATTGAGACTGTTTTCTGGATTTTCAGTATTGTCCTTTCTTACTTCCAAGATGCCAGAGACCTTACCATCTTATATGTTCTTTGTGTTTAAATAAATGTAGAAAATAATCATAATTCTATACAAACCAACAATGATGTTGCAGAAATAATACTTCAAATACTTTCTCATAGCTGTTGGTGCTACGGCAGTATACCCCATAGACCTGGTGAAGACTCGTATGCAGAATCAGCGTTCCACTGGTTCAGTTGTAGGAGAGTTGATGTATAAAAACAGCTTTGACTGCTTTAAAAAGGTTTTGCGTTTTGAAGGCTTTTTTGGTCTTTACAGAGGTAAGTGAATAAAATACATGTATCAAGTTAGGGATTTTCTACTTTTTTTTTTTTTTTTTTTTTTTTAATACTTCAGGAACTAGTCTTACGGGAAAACTAGGAAACTTGATACCATATGCAATTTTGCTTCTGTTTCATAGAGCTGAATATGTAACTTCCCTTGAGCACTGTTCATCATAATTGCTGGGAAAAACCGTGCCTTTCTTGTTGTTGTTACTGATTTGCTCCTTGGTGCTTAGATTGTTTAAAGTCCTAATCTCTGTGGTGTGAGTGTTGTGGACATGATTATCTCACAAACTGAGGATTGTGGCTTTTCGCTGGAGGCGAACATCGGGAATAGATTAGCCTGTGAGGAATGAAGATCAATTTTATGGCAAATATTTTTTTATTAAAAGAGAAGAAATACAGTCATTTTGAAAGGTACTTGTTAAATCAGATGTCAGTCTACTTAAGCCTCATACCTTTGCAGGTAGCGGGACTACTGTGAGCTAGAAATCACAGCCTGCAATTCATGTTGCAGTTTATGTATCATATTGTTCTAATTTACTTTAAAAAGTAAATAATGTAACTTATATTAAAAAAAACACTCTTCTGAAGTACAGATTAAGAATTCAAAGCAACTACTTATCAGATCAGTTAGAAAAGGTATCTTAGTTATCTTATTTTAGTTTAGGAGAAGGTTTTGAAGTAATTTTTATTGCACCAATAAGGTGACTTACGTGAAGGTACATACTAGTCAGTCTTATATTGTTATTTAGTTGAATTCTCTTATTAATTGTCATTTCATACAAAAAGCACAATTTTCGTAAGGATCTGTACATCTTTAGTTTATTTTTTTAATTGGAGAAAAGTAACTTCTGTGATGGTCACAGCCTTTTATTCTGCATTGCAATGTGCTCTGTCCATGAAGACACTGGTCAGTGCTAGTGTCCTTTAAGGACAGTATCTGAGAAGTCTTTGCATGTCTATGAACGCTGAGGAGTATTTGGTGATGTTACAGGATTTTGCAATGCAAGCAAGTAGAGGGAGGAATAGGTTCAGTGAATATGTTAATGAAATAGCCGCAATCTCTGTAAATTATGATTTACTAGTAAATTTCTTTCCATTTTTGTTGCCAAATTTTTCATTAAATACTCTGTGAAGTTGCATTTATGACTCTATTTCGCACTTTGATTTCTACAGTGCTTTTCTGTAGTACTGATTCCTTTCTCCCTCCTGCACCCTCACATGGTTTTGCACAGCAGCTCCTAAAGCTGCTTACATGTTATTTTTATTTTGGTTTTCTAACCTTTGGTAAATGCTTTTCATTGATAAGTTAAAAACAATGCCTCTCACTTGAGGAGAAATGTGCTTGTTTTATGGAATGTCAGCTTGTTTAATTTTTTAATAATATGTTTAATAACTGTCTTTAAGATTATTTAGCATAAAAGGTTCGTGTGGTTCTTTTGAAAATATTATGTGTAATGGTCAGCATGTTTCTAAGGTCTTGGATTCAGTATTGGAGAGTATTAAGCTGAAGCAGCAGAAATGTTTACAGAGTCGACTCTCTGTAACTGTGTTCTTATATTCCTACACTGAATTATCCTAATAGTATTCCCATATAATGGCACAATATACTTATTTACTGCAGTTTAAAAGATAGGTTTGAATGGATATTGCAAAGTTTATATTTTTAAATACAAACTTTAAATTTTTGGTCAAGAAAATCATGATACTTGAATCCTGGCATCCAGCTTCAGAACTAATTACAAAATATTTTCTCAGCTCCCTTGCTAGTCTATGGTAGAATACAGAGTGCATGTGTCTGGGATGTTCAGCTGCATGTAAAGGGAGGAGGCAGGCTGGAGGGGAAGTTGTCTTGTGGTGTTTTGTCTGGTAGTTTTTTTTTGTTTTTTTTTTTTTTTCTTTTTAAGTGTAGGCACTGCAGAACTGGATTTTCTTTTCATGGTAGATCAGAGATTCAGGCTGGGAGGGCAGCATTTCTTTTTGTTATTGTCAACCTTTCTTTGTATTTAATAACTACCTTTCCTCAGCATAGTAAGTCTGTAAATCGCACGGAAAGTACTGTGTTGGAAGAAAACACTACAGTGCATATATTAACTGCTGCTCTTTCTGCTTCAGCTCTGAGCTTCCTTTTAAGGAAGTACTAAAAAAAATCTACAGGCTAAGAACTTCTGGGAATTTTGAATACTTTTCATGAATTTTTAGCTGTTACTCTTTTCACTTAATAGATAGTGGAAAGCTGCATCATTATAGTTTTGTTGATGTTGTTTGATATTTGATATAATTAGCCTGGGATTTTTTGTTTGTTAATTGGCAGACGTTTCTGACAAATTGATATTCCCCAAGCACGGAATAACACTAAGAAAGGAACACTTTTAATAAAGATAAGCTCTTTAAGTTTTATAATCTTATACATATGCCAAGATGAGTATGGAGAAAATGGATTTTAAAATAACAGATGCTGCTATAATCTTGTATGTTAGGAAGTTAAGACTGCCATCTACTGATTTTTTTCTTAAACCTATTAGTTCCTAGAAAGGTGTATGTGCTTTTGTCAAAAGGCAGTTCATTTTGATAGCAGCTATTTTCCAGGAGCAAAAGCCTTTCAAAATTGGTATCTGCCAACTAATGCTTCCACTTGGCAAGATAAAAAAAATATTTAATAGTAAGAGAGTTTAAAGAATTTCATTTTGGACTGAACTAATGAAAATCCTTCATTTTCTTTGTTGACAGAAGCCTTCAGAAATCTCAGGTTTAGTGAGCCAAATGGACAATAGTTGATAATGTATATATCTCATAATTAATCTCCTATTTTGAAAAGTAATTCAGAGCTTTATGGGAAAATGATATAAAGGGGCTAAAAAACTCTAACTAAAACTTAGATTAACTCTTACATGAGTAGACATGTATAAGGTGTTTATTCGGTCCTTTACCTTTTTACCTCTACAGCAACAGCATCAGGCTTGACTTGGTTGTAGAAGGTGGCTCTGCTCACCCTTTTCATTACAAATTTCAAAAAAAATCTTAACATAAAATCATATAGGTATGAATATGCAGTGCTCTAGCATCCTCGCATGTATAAATGACATCTACCTCAAAGGGTAACTGCCATATACGTAAAAGGGTATCCCATGTGCAGGAAGGCGTTTCTGTAGAGCTCTTGTAAAATACTAGTTTCTTTATTAGGAAGATAATGTTGCCTTATGATGTCTTTGTTTCTATAGGCTTGTTACCACAGCTGATAGGTGTTGCTCCAGAAAAGGCTATTAAGCTAACTGTACGTATCTTTTTTATTTTATTTTCTGGCATCTTTTCGTTTGTTAACATGCACAGGATTTATTTCCTAAAATATGTGAAAGATGCCCACTTAAAAGCACTCTAATAAATATGGTTACACATGTACTTGATAGAGGTTAATAACGAGGAGGAATAACTTTAAACTGTGTGTAATTTATTGTATCTTCATTAGGTTAATGACTTTGTTAGAGACAAATTCACGAAGAAAGATGGTTCCATTCCACTCCCTGCAGAGATCCTTGCTGGAGGCTGTGTAAGTATCCATCCTGTACTATTTGTTCCTAGGAAAAATTGATTCTCAGTCATGTGCAGTACAGTTGGAGTGGCAGTTAATGCATGTGCTTTGGTGATTTGAACAGAACTTTTTTTTCCCATTCACAAGAACTGAGGAAGTACTTTTAAGTTACTTCATGAAAATGTGTTCAGTGAAAACTGAATATAGTCTTATCTTTCAGATAACAGGTCTGAACGAATCTTCAGTTTAAATTACTTTATATAAAATGTACCTACATTACTCCATACCCTAACTACATCCCTCATCTAAATAGTTCAAAAACAAATTGTGATTTCATTGAGATGGAGAACTCTATTTCAGCGGATCTCTAAGCAAGATCTAAGTGGTTGGAATTGATATTGATGATAGATTTTTTTGTTTGTTTTTTGCACATTGGATAATTTTGTTTGTGGGATTCCCCAACAGTTGTTAACCCTATAAAATGTTTAAGGCTTGAGTTAGTTTTCTTTTGTAGCAGAGAACACTAATAACTTCCAGTTGAGTAGGCTGACAGGCTGGTATAAAACCTCCTCAGCTTACAACAAAACCTGGGGCAGAAAGGTTGTTGACCTCTGCAAACTTTTAATTCAAAGAAGCAGCCCTGAAGGGAGGCTGCTTATAGTTCTGCCTGATTGAATTTGGCAGCCTGGTACATGCTTGAGTCTTCACCTGTCAGTGTACAAAGTTTATTTTCTGAGAAATGTGAGAAAGCAGCTGTGATGTATAGCTAGCAAAAGACTAACCTTTCTTTTTGGAAAGCTCAATAACACAGAAAGCACATACAAATCATTTGTAACAGAAGTGAATATAATTCATTAGTGTTCTTCTCTGTGTTGCAGTTAAATTCACAGTTTAAATTGAACAACTGATAATTATATTATTTTTACGTTCTTTTGTACTGAAATGTGTAATATTAAATACAAACTACGTTAAAGGTGTTTTCTCTTCCTGATAGGTACTCCTTTTTGAAAATAACTTCTTATTGTCGTACTGTAGTGAACATACAAAAATCAGGGAGAAATTTTAGTTTCAGATAAGCTTTTGGAAATTCATATGCTTTTGTGAATCTCAGCAGATCTATAATCTGTCCAAACACAACCCTTTCTTCTAGCTGATTCTATTAGCTGATATCCTCAAAAAGGAGAAACATTTTTCACTCTATTTGGGAGAATTTTAGATTAAGTTGGCCTTTGTAGGAGAGGTGTTGGTCACAGTTTAGGAACTTCAGGGATGCTTTTCTGTCTGCACTGATGCTTAATTCCTTTTTAGCTATTTCTCTTTTTCCTAGGTAGCAAATTTTTTATTAGTAAGCCTACAGAGTTTATTCAAAAGGTTTGAAAGGAACAATTGACTAAGGCAGTATCAAGTTAATATGTTTGTCTCTCATGTCCTTTTCATCCATTGTGATAGCTCTCTTATTTGTTGATTTACTTGGAATTAGTGTTGTTCATTGTATGCTTTTTGTTTGTTTGACAAAATACTACATGAGACATAACCAACGGTTATACTCAAGGATGTAACTCGTGTTACAGGGGCTTTGTGTATGCAGGGGCAGAAAAGATTTTCTGTTTGGGAAATACTACCTTTCTTCTCCATCTTTCCTTAATTCTGTTCCTCCTCTATTTGTTAGTATAAATTATGGGTTACTGTGGCACTGTTTGGCTTTTGTCTGTGCCAAAATCACTTTCAGTATCTGCATTTGGGTAGCTTTTTATTTGTATTTGTGTGGCATTTTATAAATTGATACTTAAATGTTTTGCAAATAGTAGATTATAAATAGACTGAATTCAAAACATGCTTTTCACCACGTTATAGCATCAGAAGAAACTGCATTATATCTGTATGTAGTTCTGAGAGGTGTACTTCCTAATATCTCTGCCCCTCACTTACCTGTGCTTAGCATTTAGCCTTCTCTTGATTAACAGCAATAATACAGTTCATCGTATGAAAAACATAGTGGGACTGGTAGTGGATGAGCTAGCCATATTTTTAGCAGTTTTATAGAGAGGCCTTCCTCGCCTTTGAAAGTCTGCCTCCTTTCAAGCAGTACACGTTGTGCACACCACTGTCCTCAACCTGGAATCAACAAAATTCTTGTGAGGAAGTGGTGGCAGTTGGGGAAATACTGCAGCAGACCTAGCAAATTCTCCTCTCTGGATGGCAGTGCTGTATCAAAGGCTGTGTATGGTGTTACAGCCCTCTAAGATTCACAAATGAGGACAGGTAAAACCTTTGACATTAAAACAGTAGTGATTCAGGACAGCCTGCACACAGCTCTGGATATCCTCAGCTCTGGAGCGTTTGCAAGAAGTGCCGTAGCACCCAGCAAAAGGACGACCCGCAGAAATGTGTTTCCTCCAGAATCAGCAACTCCAAGAAGACTGCATTAAGAAGATGCTATTTCTGTCTCAGTGGCTGTAAGATTTTGGAAAAACCTCGTGTCCCCAGTAAAAGCACAAGTCTCCGTTCTCATAGCTGTTAACAGAGACATCCACCCAGGCACTGGCCTGTTTGTACGGTCAGCTGCCTGTCAGTTGTCTTCCTTCCTTACTGCAGGGCAGGGACCTCCCGCAGTCAGCCAGTGCTCTGTGTTTCTTGAAACTTACCTGCTAGCCGCTGGGCAATGTAAATGTCATTGGGAAGTGTAGGGTCCGCTCTGTCAAAGCCCAAATATTCCCAGCTGCTCCCAAGTTGTGGCTGTATTTGAAATCTGCAAAACAGCTTGTGGGGCAGCTCAGTTACATCGGTCAGGTCATACCTGTCAAGGAAAGGGTTTCTGGTCACTGATGGAGGAAACTGATATCCTATCTTCCTACCTTCCTGAGAGTTTACTGGTTTGTTAATCATCAACAGCACTACCCATGCTTAGACATGTTCTGAGAAAATGATTTCTTTCCCTACTGTTACTGTAATTAATTAAATTACATTTCATTGTAATTCAGTGATTAGCCTGCATTTCTGCATTTGAAATTTTCAGCTACCATTAGCTTTGAGTTGCAGGGAGACTGAGTGAAGTTTTGGCAATGCTTTCCTGTATCCTGACAGCAGCTGGGGAAGCAGAGAGCTCATAGCTGATATGGACAGTGCTACCCAAAGGAACTTACACACATGACGCATGTGAGTACGTCATGAAGGGCAGGGTGCTGTGGGGTAGCTGTTCCTCCTCAGCTGGGCAGGGAAGCTGAAGTCAACATCTAATGCTGTATAAATGATACATAAGTACTGTTACAGCAGACAAAGATGCTGTGAAGTTACACTGTAGTTCCTATGAGTTACGTAGGAAAAAATGTATTCTTCCCATCAATGAATTGTGCATTGCGCCTGGTATTTTGAATGGATGAATGGATCCCTTTTCATCTGAAAGACTTTTCTGGTTTGTGCTGCAGGAGGTGGGTGCCAGAAGGAAAGGGTCTAAGAACCCTTCCTGAAGGTGTAGGCAGTGCATCTGTTGACAATTAGGAGTGGGAGGTGTGTGTCTCTGTGTTTGCATATATATACGCAGAGGTCTACTAAAATGTACCATTGATTAGAACCTATTATGTATTTAAACATTAAATCTAACATCTAGTCTAACTAATTTGGTGTATTTGTAGATAAATAAAAATTGTCTATTTGTATATACATGCATACAGACAGACGTGTACATGATTTATTTATAAGGCAAATAGATATGTCATAATTTAAAATACTAGTTTTTTATTTAACATGCACAAATGCAGAATTTTAGCTGCCATACTACTACTCTTTAAAATCTTGAGGATAATCTACCTCTTTTGATATACTTTAAACAGATAAAGTTAGAAGCAAAATTGAACTTTACTGCTTTGTCTTGATCTCAGTGGCAGGCATTTAAAGTCAGGGAGAAATTTCTTGTTCAGTAAAAGAGGCAAAAGCTTGCTACAGGTACATGAACAATGAAAGCTTTGCCTTGAGAAAGAACTGCAAGTCCTTTTGATGTTTTTAGAATAGACTGCTTCAAGTAACATCTTATTTTAGCTGCTTGTATGGGACGTAGTTGTGGTCCAGGATGTGGTAGTTTCAAAAAGGAAGGAAGGAAGGGCTTGAAATAGGCCTCTCCCCCTTTGTAGCATATGCCTCTCGGGTGGAATTGGAAAGGGCAAGAGGTCTCATGTTGCGGGGTCATTTGTGTATTTCCTTCAGCCTTTGGCATGTCATGAGGCGTTTGCTGTGGGATCTCAAACTACATCTTTTCTCTCATAACCTTTGCTGTCAGATTTAGTTCCTTTATTTGCTCCTTGTAGAGTTATTTTACATGACATTAAGGTTAAGTAGAAGCTTTTATTACTGGTATTTTTGATGTGTATGAATAACCTCCATTCAGAAACAAATTTGTCAACCTTTTTTAAAGTGTCTGTTGTAATTTATGTGTGAAGGGAGGTTTTCTGGGGGGGAAATCTAGGTTTAGTGCACCTTCTCCAAAAGAAATTGAAGGACTGCAGCATATACCTCAGTGAGTATATACTCATGTGCACGTGTATTTAAAAAACATAGCTGACAGCTGAAGTAAGGTATTTTGAAAAAGAATGATGATGATTGCCCGTGATTTGCACAGAAGCATAGAGATTTGTATTGTGACCCTGCACACTGCCAGTTCATTTTTATTTGGAGATGCTTTGTGTCCTTCTCTTCTGCATCCTCTTCTGGAGCACTTCCTCTGCTGCTGGAGAGCCCAGGCAGAACATGCCCTCCACTTCATTTATCTTCAGATAGGCAAAGATCTTCTTAAAAACAAAACAAAACGAACCAACCAAATAAAATAGAGCTCTCGCTCATTTCTTAAAGAGCACTCAATGAAAAAGCCAATTTTCTTGTTACATGTTCTGTGTTAAAGTTCATGCTTGTCTTGCCTGTCCTTGTACTATGGCTAAGGACCTAACTCATTCAAGCAGCTCCACTGAATTCAGGGCAACTCTTCATGTGAATCAAATTACTCCTGTGCAAAATGTTTGCTGAGCTCCAGACATAACTGTATCAAAAATCTAGACTTGGACCGGAGCATTTGTTTGTAATATGGATTGTTTAATTGGGTATCTTAACAGTTACAGCTTTTTTAAGAAAGCTGCTTATTAAGAGGTTTGTCAACAAATGGGCATATAGGAAGAGTTATTTTGGCTGCTCTTCAGGATGTGCAGATTAAAAATAAAACAACTATTAAATAAAAAATTAAAATATATCACATTAAAAATAAAAATGGATTTTCACATACATATGTAAAGAAATAATGTATATTAAATAGGCAGGTAGCAGATTATTGTCTGGAAGGAGTGAATTTCTAGCTTAGTGTCTAGATTTTAAGTTATTTGAATGTTTTATTTTTTGTAGTGCATCATATGATGTAGTAAGAGCATTGTGCTTAATGTTTTATTTACCAGGATTTTAAAAAATATTAATGTGGGGAAATTGTAAACATCTGAAATTGTTATTTTCTGGTTAATGCAAGATCACAGAATCACAGAATTTCTAGGTTGGAAGAGACCTCAAGATCATCGAGTCCAACCTCTAACCTAACACAAACAGTCCCCACTAAACCATATCCCTAAGCTCTACATCTAAACGTCTTTTGAAGACTTCCAGGGATGGTGACTCCACTTCCCTGGGCAGCCTGTTCCAATGCCTCACAACCCTTTCGGTAAAGAAGTTCTTCCTAAGATCGAACCTAAAACTCCCCTGGCGCAACTTAAGCCCATTCCCCCTCGTCCTGTCACCAGGCACGTGGGAGAAATAGGGTTATTGCTTAACAGAACTTGCCAGATAAGATTTTTTTTTAATTTTTTTTTAGATTGAAACTTGTCCAAGCAGGACAGTCATTTCATCTTGCATGCATAGGTGTGTATAAACGATAGGAAAGGGTAAGTTGAGAAGTAAACAGTGTCTGAAGAACAGCTTTGGACATGAGTGCTGTCAGGGAACCCAGAAAACTCAGAGCATTAAGTCCAAGAAACAGAAGAGGGGATCATTTTACCTGTTTTGGGAATCCCAGTGATCCCAGTTGCAATAACGTCCACAAAAATGTAGGCTTTGATTTTTTTTTTCAGAGGGGTGAAGAAGTGAGAGAATAAAATCAAGACTAACACCATAGATTGGTTATTTGAGCAGAACTGCCAGAGATATTAATCCCCACTGCAGTAATCACTCAGAAGCAGGGGTTGATCTGCCACTGTTTGGATCAAGGTGTGTTAGTAAGTCCATAACAAAGATTTTTTAAAATGTCAATAGCGAGTGAAGTAATAAACAGGGCTTGCAGGATGCCAGTACACTCGGCAGAGGTTCAGTGAAATGTCTGATGCTTGGTCAATGAAAATTTTGAGATTTCATGCTCCTACATTCCGTAGACACTACCTGAGTGCTTAATCATTCTTGGTAAGAGCTGTTGAAGTCCTGTTCTCAAGTCTAAAATAAACTTTTAAGACATGTTCCAGGGCTTGTCTCAGTTTATTGTGCCTGTTGCTGGAGGGAGGAAGATGGTGCTATAGCCAGAGACATAACAGAAAGGATTAGTGTTCATTAGTTCTGAATCAATTAGCAGAGAATGCCAGGAGGTGTTAGTGCAGACTATTGATATTTTTTTGCATACACACACACAGCATCACAAAGAGAGTTTATTTCCTGGGCAATCTAGAAGTGAGGAAAAAAAAAGCATTAATTGCAGATATTCTGCATCTTTTTTCTTCGTTAATGTTTGATGGGTTAGAGGAAAAGATCAGGCATTCATATGGAAGAAATGCTGCTTAAAGTTGGTTGTGTTCAAGTGGCTGTATACCATACATGTTAAGGAAATGGTCTCAATTTTTAAATCAACAGAGATGGCCTAGAAAAAAGGGGAAAAAGCAAGTTAGTAACATTTATTTGTTTTGTGATGAACCACACACTTCTCCAGAGGTGAATGGTAGGTACCTACAGCATGCCAAAGAGAAATCTCTGTCATTTTAAATAGGTGTACGCATGTACCTATCATATGGAAACTGAAACATAGCTCTTTGGTTAAAGTGTAGAATCTGAAGCTGCTGTGCAGCACTATTGATAGGAACAAGTAAGTAAGGCAGTCCATCAGCACTGTGTAAAATATCATGCTCAGAGAAAGACATGACTCCCATTTTTATTCAGTATCATATTTTGAAATGTTACTCTCCCTATTTAAATTTTATATTTTGTTTCCAATTAGAACAATTAGTCTGCTAAACAAAACTCCAAACACCTTTTCTAATAATTTAAAATTAGACCATTAAATGCAAATTTACCTTTTAAACAGCATCACCACTAAATGCTAATAGCATGTCTACACATTGGTGATGGATTATTATTGAATAAACATAAGGTCTTCTTTGTAAGTGTTTGATGCTCTAGTAGCACGAGTGTAATGACAATTTTAGTCTAGTATTTAGTCTAGTATTTAGTATTTATCTGATAGACTTTTACACAGTTTCAGGACTTTTAGAAAGGAGAATAGCAGAGACAAACCACATTAATCACCTTAGTGGAACATAAACATATAAATGTACATGAATCAGGATTTTGTACAAAACCATGATTTCTGATTTGGGCCTTTAACTTCCAGACAAGTGCTTTATTAACTGTCATAGATTTTTATATGAGAATATGAGCCAATGCAGCAAGAAGTGAAGGCACTCAGCACCTTGAAGAAACCAGTGTGTTGCCACGTGCTCTAGTAACGCAATTTACTTTATTTTTCTTTGGGTTTGCAGGCAGGAGCTTCACAGGTCATCTTCACTAATCCGCTGGAGATTGTAAAGATTCGGTTGCAGGTAGCAGGAGAAATTACTACAGGACCCAGAGTCAGCGCCCTCTCTGTTATTAAAGATTTAGGTCTTCTTGGTCTTTATAAGGTATGTGTTTCTGCTTTGAGTGACTTCATTATAGCTCTGTTAACCTGTTTTATGCTAAACCTTTACAGTGTGGAAACAAAAACTGTGTTAAAAACAAAGAAACCTTTTGAATTTAAAACCGATTTCTTCCTGCAGGGCAGCCCCACAGTGGAAAACTGAAGAAAATCCACTTCTATATTAATGGCAGTGGGATACATAAAAGTACTCCCCCATTCTATCCTCTAGGCTTTTATACCAAGCTATAGGGAGTCCTGTATTGCAGACCTGCTGGCTTCTGGCACTGATAATTTCATTTGGTGTGGTTTTGTGAAAAGTTTCTTGAGCTTTCCCTGTGTGTTTTTCTCACATGTATTTTGAATCTGTTATCTCTATTGTTATCTTTGCAGCAGGATATTCTCTTTGTCTTAATAATTTGATGGTAGTGAAACAGTAGTAGAGTTTAGTAGGATTCAGATTTTTAAGAAGTTAAATGGTGGGATTTGTCAATAACGAATTCCACTTAAAAAAGCCTGCACTGTACTGTACTTCAGCAGAATGCCAGTCAACAGATTCCTTCCCTGCAGGTATACTTACTACCATCATTATAGATCAGGTGTAATGGAGCAGAAGCTATTAGTTTTCTTAAACAAGAAAGAGTTCTTCCTTTATCTTCTGTCAGTGCAACGGGTAATACGTAAATTCAGCAGTTATGTTAGCTGTGCACTTACAAAACATTGTTTTACCTGATTTGTCCATAGACCTGTAATAATACTATAAAAACATAAAATTTACTTCTAGAGCTGAAGCTTTTGTTTAGAGTTCAATAAAGCTGATTCATGACCATCTTATTTCCTAAAGATCACAGGTGTTTCGGTACATGGGGCAAAATTGCTATTTCTATTTGCAGTAATTAAATAACTGAGCTCACTAAAAAATGTGCTGTTCTTCAGAATTGCATTATCACTTGTGAATAACTGCACAAACTCATTTTAGAGAATAAAAAATCTGCATGAGAAGGCATAAATTTTGTTTTACCAGTGTCTCCTAATTAAGCCACCAAGCTTTGTAACGTGTGCTGTCTGTTCCACTTAATCTAACCACAAAGGGTGACTGGCCTCAGGTGGGTGCCCTGTGTGGAGGCTGCTGACTTGGAGCATTGTTCTACCTGTATGCTAGTTTGGAGTTCAGGCAAAGACTGCTGGTTTTGTAACATGTGCGCTTGCAGAGTATGCATATAAGATCTTCAGATACCTAAGTGATCATTTAAGCCATGTACAGAAGGAGTTATTTTAGTTGGTAAAAGACTGATGATTGAAGTTACTAAAGGAAAAATACTAAGTATGTTTGATTAGGAGCATTCCACTGTTTTTATAGCATATGTAGTTCTTTTAAGGAACTCTTTTCATATCAGCTTTTGGCTGGGAGCTCTGAGTAGGAGCTCTGAGTAGGAGTGTTGTCACAGGCCTAAAGGTTTGTCTTCCTGTATCTTCCCTTTATTGAAAAACTTCCGTTTTGTAACTGCTTACCTCTTTTTGCTACCCTTTGGCACAGCATCTTCAGTCAACTAGATGATGATCAGTATGAGGTCTTAAGAAACCTAACTGATACTTCAGTAATGCTTTCAGGGTTGGTGGAAAAAAGGGCATGCAAGGGTTTGTCTTGCTGCTTCCATGGTTGTGGGCTGTTGTCAGAAAGACATCAGGACACACCTTTGTCACTTTCTTTATTGTGTTTGGACTCATCACATCTAAAAGGTATTTATCCTTGGTACTGATGTCAAAATTGATGTTGCTTAATGAACTTAGATGTGAACCTTGAGGCTTCCTTATTCTAGAAACTTGCATGAGGATATACTTTAGACTTTTTTTTTTCTCCAAGTTCAATTCTGCATCTTCTGTTTCCTGAAACATTTTATTTTCTGTTATTTAACCAGTGGATCAAGAGAGCTGATACTTCCTGGGCTCAGGCTGCTTGCTGGATATCAATTGTAACCATATTTACAAAATTTACTTGTATTATCTCTCTTCTCTGTGACAGGGTGCCAAAGCATGTTTCCTCAGAGACATTCCCTTTTCTGCAATCTACTTTCCTGTTTATGCTCATAGTAAACTGATGCTTGCTGATGAAAACGGCCATGTGGGAGGGCTTAATCTCCTTGCAGCTGGAGCCATTGCAGGTAATTCTGTGAATGTTTTCTAGAAGCAATTTTTTTCTTTTAGTAAGTAATATTTAATATTCATTCGGTAGCCCCATATAAAGGAAGGGTATGGTACTATTGTATCTGATTTAATCTAAATTTGATCACTGTTATCCTTAGTGGGAGGCAATGTAATTTTGATGAGAACTAATTACATTTGCATAATGTGGATAAACAGCGTAATGCAGCTCAGCAACTTGTAGTCAAATTTGATCTGTCTGTCTCAATGGGGTTTTACTTGTTACAGTGCTCTCTGAGTTGAAGGCTAATTTGAATCTTTGATGAACATAAAATGGGATATCATAAGAGCTAAGAAAAAAAATGACCTATCTAGTTTTGGATTCCTGAGTAACTTAGTCCAAAGGCAATTGCCAAAAATAGGGCATTACTTTGTAAAGAAGCTGAGGTGAAAATATTGCAGTGGGCAATTTAAAATACTTTAAAGACTTCCCAAAAATGTTCAGTATGAACAGAGTAAGCAGCCGTGATAAAAAGTTATTTTTACTAAATGGCAAGTGGTATAATACACTGAATGTAGGAAGTGTAGTGATGGGTATTTAATAACGTGGATAGAGATGGCCAGATTCTGCTCTGTTAGGTATAAGTTTTCTAGGGTGAAAAACAGGTAACTGCAGCATCTTGATCACGAACCATTTGGCTTTGACTTCTGCATGGTTTAGAAACACCCTTGGGCTAAACAGACCTTTTGTTACTGGTTACAGTCATGAGGAATAGCTATATATATGTGTGTGTGTGTATATACATATACCAATCATGGGCAGTCTGGGTGTAAGCAGCTTCCCATACTGGACTTGATGCAGAGCTTGACTATACCTGCTTTGCCAGTTGTCTACCTTGCTTGTGTCAGGGTGGAGAGAGAGAGACCAGCTAGGAAACCAGTAAAAGCAGTTAAAGCACTGTTTACTCTCAAGTAATACAGAGCTGTCAGATAGGGGGAAAGTTCTGAGTACACGTTAGTATTATTAACATATATCTTAAAATAAAGACTCACTTTTTATTTTTAGATTCCAAACTTCACAGTTTCTCTTTGCTTGATTAGTGTTTCTGGGTCATTCAGATACTAAGTGATGAACCGTATTATAGAGGTGTTTAGATCTTGTAGGCCTGTTTTTTATATCCTGTACAGGAATCTGCGTTCCTGAACTGCAAATTTCAAATTCCTGATTGCTTGATCTATTCATGTTTTGCATGCACAGCAGGGAAGAGTACAGCCTGAACATATCTGCCTGCAAGGGAAAATCTGCATATGGCTGCTCTTAGCATGTGCTTTGCAGGCTTAACTAACTTGCTCCTGTTCTCTGAACTGATCAGCAAAGCTTGTGAGAATTCATGATCACCTGTGAAAATCAGGGACTTGTTAAACTTTTAATTCATTACTAACTGATAGTAAAAGTTCAACAAAAAGCAAAAATCAGTTCAAAATTCTAAGTCAGTCAGAGTATGTTCTTTTAAGAGAGAGATAATTCTGAATACTGTAAAATTTCAGAGATATCACAGTTAAATACTGTGGAGTACACTTCAGAAAACTTTTTCCTTTCCTTTAACTAGAAAGCTGAGAGTGGTGCCTTTGAAGTGGAGATACGTTCTTTCATCACTGTTGGCTAATATCACACTGCTGGTACTAAGCAGACTTGTCTAAAATCTTCATTGTCCTCAGTCTTTTTATGGCTTGCCTAATTGAATTAAGCAGCATCTATTCTCCTGCAGAACAGCCCAAAAAGCAGTACAGAAATAATTATGTAGAATATTCCTGGAGAATAGCTAATTTCCTTACTAACACTTCTAACAAATGGATGTGTAAGATTCAAGTTCCCCTATCATCTTTATATAATTCAGAGTATTTTGTACACTGCACAAATACAGCAAGATTGAAAAACTAATGATTTGTCATGGATCTCTGATTGCATATAGGGCATGTGGGGTTAAAAATGCTTTATTTGAAAATACCAATGAGATGGTGAGAGAATTGCTGTTAATTTTTTTTTTTTCTTTACTCTCATCTATAGCCTTTAAGTTTAGAAGAAATGCAAAGGATTATACCAAGAACAAGTTTATATTAGCATCAAGTATAAAAACTTGTATTTTAGTAATCACCTGTTCTTGCAAAAAACAGTGAAGTTTGCAGTTTTATTTTTCAGTTAGAAGTGTTTCATCTTTACAAGAGTCTTTGTGCAAATTAAATGTGGTTTTCTTCTAAAAGGTGTGCCTGCTGCTTCTTTGGTAACCCCTGCTGATGTCATCAAGACAAGACTGCAAGTGGCAGCTCGCGCTGGTCAGACAACATACAGTGGAGTTATTGACTGTTTTGGAAAGATTCTAAGGGAAGAAGGCCCTTCGGCTTTTTGGAAGGGTGCTGGAGGTGAGAAGTCCACACTGAGTTTTGAATTACAACTGACCCCAGTTCTCTAAATTAGCACGTGCGTTATTAAGGACTCTAGAACAGTATTTACAAGGTCTGATTTTGAGAAATGTAACTTACCATTTATTTAAAAAGATACTTAGTTTCTTTCTTGAGAAACTCCCTTGTTTGATTCTATGATTTGTAATATTTAACAGCTCGTGTGTTCAGATCGTCGCCCCAGTTTGGTGTTACTTTGGTCACATACGAGCTTCTGCAGAGATGGTTTTATGTCGATTTTGGAGGCCTGTAAGTCATTAGTTTGCTTTTTAACTTGCACAAAAATATCTGCAAGGTTCAAAAATCTTACTTTTTTTCATGCATGGGACCACTTAAACTTGGGGACTTTGAGCAGCTAGTCTTAAGAGTTGTAGTACACAGAAAGCAGATTAAGAGATTAAGAATAATTTCATATGTATTTAAATACACTACATAAAATTTGTTTCTTCGCTGTAACAAGACACTTTGTCCTTCTTACCTGTGTCACAGGAAGTTAAACGATTTACAAAAGCTATCAGTAAAAATGTAACTTCAGTTTTGGCCTCAGTTGCCCATTAAGTAGTGCTCTGAAACCACCCTCAGCTGACTATAGAAGTGAATTAAGGTCATCTTTAACAATCCTGCATGCTTAGGCAAAATCTTTAAGTACTTACTCTGTATTTTGTAAAATTTAGGCTTACCTGTAAATAACAAAAAGGCTTTCTTTCTTCTGTCTTCAAACAGCAAACCTTCTGGATCAGAACCTACACCAAAAACTCGAATTTCAGATCTTCCCCCTGTTAACCCTGAGCACATAGGTGGATACAGACTTGCTACAGCTACATTTGCTGGTATAGAAAATAAATTTGGTTTATATCTTCCAAAGTTTCGGTCTCCTAGCACTGCCTCAATCAAAAAGCCAGCAGCTGAATCCTGAAGACATCTTTCAGCCTAACAAAGTGATGCAGTGCTAAAAATTCCCAGAAGTAGTACTGTATTTTTTCCAGTCAGCTGCATGTTGTTCTAGTTGAACCGAGCTTGCGCATTAAATTACTCCTTTCTAATATTAATATATACACATGCATTTATTTGTTTATGAACTAGTCATTGGCACACAAACTGATTGAAGCAGTGGTTCTATGCCTTATTTTTAACTGGTGGCATGAATCGTTAAGACGACTTTGCCTTGCACAGCTTGCATTTAATGTTACTGTACATATTGTACATCTTTGTACAGAGACATCATGGCATCTATACACATACGTTTATATAAGGGGTAGTGCAGTTCAAAATAGTTTGAAATGTACAGAATGTTTTGAAAGCTTTTTGTTAAGACTCATGTGACAATAAAACGTTTAAAAACATATTAAGTTGGCTCATTTTTTTGTTTGTAGAAAAGCAGACTGATTTTTTTTTCCCCCCTCCACAGATTAGGGTTAGGTATTTAGATACAACTATGTAATGAAGTTAATACAGCCTCTGAAGAAATGCATTTTACTCTGACCTAGTTACAACAGAATTATTACAATGATGGCTTCTAAGTATAAAAGCACGCAGTAATTAAAATACTGCATGTGCTCATCTATTTTGCAGTACTACTTTGTTACAAAGAATTCCCTCAAAATATATAATGCTAACTCTGTAATAGATCTTAACTCTGTGGTAGCATACTTAAGATGCATTTGCCAGTTATTAAGACTCCTGAATCTTTACAGAATTTATTATTTGGAGTGCTCATATTTAAGTATGAAATTACACTAAGCCAGTACAGTAATCTCTAGTACTACCACATTCAGAAGTAAAACTACTAAGGGTTAGTACATGGAATTTTTAAGAACAGCTGTGGCCAAGTCTCACTATTCATAGCTAGAGAATGATGTAGCTCTCCTGTGTCATGTAGGAAATCGACTTCGTAAGTATCTGACAAATTAATATTAAAGACTTCTTCATTCTGAGGTCCTTCCTAAGCAAAGTGACATTTTTACCAGCTGTACTTTTTACATGAGGAAAAGAAGCGTTGCACGAAAAAAAAAAAGGAAAGATCAACCCACCTCTCCAGGAGTTACTATTTGATTTTAACCACCATGTGAAAAAAATAAATGCACAACTATTAATAAAATTTCTCCATCTTCTGTCCAGGAAACATCTGTAACTGTAGTCATATGGAAGTGTAGTCTACCTAGAACTAAGTCACATAGAAGACAATGCATAGAGATTCACATAGGGAAAATAAATAAATCCAGAATTTAAAGTTTCCTTAAGAAAAATTGAAGGCATCTTTTCTATTCCAAGATCATTTTTACACTGGAGAGACTTTATAACAAATAATAAATTCTTTGTATTTTGTTAGATGAATGCAAAAAAAATATCTGAATTATGCAAAACTGGACAAACTGCAAAAACTAGACAGAATGAATTCCAGTTGAGTAGAATGCTAAGTAAAAGGAAAGGAGAAAGGAAAAGCTTCAACTTCTTCTGGCTTATTTTTAGACTTCCGGCAAACATTTTCTTTGACAGTTTTAAAATCCAAAATGTCAGTAGAAACTGTAAATATCTCCAGTCCTAAAGGAAAAGAATTTATGCTACCCATACAAGTAGAGAGGAGATAGCTGGGTTTCTAGCCCTGCTTATTGAAGTATGTCAGTCTTCAATCTTTAGTTCTACGTGTTTCTTTCAGGGCTAAAGATCCTGGAGAACAGTGTACACTTGCAGTATAAACTGACTTAAGGTCATGTTACTTTCTTGCTCAGTTGATAATAGACCACTATGATGAATTTTAGCCAGCTTATGAGGAAACTACTTAAAAACTGAACACTAGGAACATACTTCTTCAGTTCTAACCTGGTGACAAGATACAGCGTGCCGAATAAAATATATTCATACCAAATAACACGTACTAAGCTAGAGGTAACGATAACCTTAAATCAGGAGCTTGATCACTATGCTGTAAAATGCATATAACCATATTAAGAGTTTTCCTCTTTTCTTCCTGTTAAAAAAAAAAATTACCTGTTCTGTGCAGTTTTCTAGACACAGGCTTCCCAGGAACACTCCCATATCTGTGTATTTTGTTGAGATACAAACATGCCAGGTACCCACTGGTATTAATCTTAGTCACAGCTTGTTGACTGACTTTATCAGCCTTGGACGACTTTCCAGTGTGAGAACTCTCACAGCTCTAAGACCGGACTGCATGGCGCCCAGGATGATCATTTACAGTAACTAGCATCACTATTCATCTCTTAACATTGCAAACAGGGTTTTAAAGCTTTCTTTTATCTGTACATAACTGTTCTGTGAGGGAAGAACACAAGCAGGAATGAATACAGAACAATATTGTTAAGTCAGAAAAAGGTTTAAATTATTTAAAACTAAGCCCATTTGACCCGTATTTTTATGCCACAGTCCATCACAATAAAGCCTTATCTACTGGATTTCTGAAAATAGAAGTCTGAAGGAAATGTATTATTAAATGAGAAGCGATGGGGAGAGGGGGAAAGGACCTTCAGTTTGTTAAGAAATCTTGTGCCTAAAGGGTAGAAATCATCACATGACGTGCCTGTTCTTTATATAGTTCACGTGTTTCTCAACCAAACAGCTGCTGTCATAAGGTTGAGGAAAACGTACAAGGCAAATGTCAAACTGAACAGCATGACTTTGCATTGAAAATGGAGTGTGGACTTCTGACAAGCCAACACCAACAGAAGCAGACATTTCACTTTCAGACCCATGGAGAAAGTGAACCTCCTTAAGATAGAACTGCTGCCACTACTGCCAGCGTCTCTGAGCCTCATAATTGAGGCAAACCAGGTGAAACAGGAAAAGCATGCCCCCATACCAAGAATAAACAGTGTGAATGCTTCTGATTAAGCTGGAATATAAACCTGTATTCCACTTTTAAGCATATAAACCAGCTCTTCTAGCAAAATGACGGTTTGCAGCAGAATAAGAGAAAATAAATTTGATAGTTCTGACCTAGAGTCCTGTGCTGTCAAAGGGATCAATGCCACTTTAATGCCTAGTTGGTACAAGTCCAAATTTTTACTTAAAGTTATATAAAAAAACTCATCTACTTACCCAAAGCTGACCAAAAAAACCCAAAAAACAACTTGATGGGAGCCTTCGTAGTGCCCTAAGAGAAGTATACTAAAAAAATATTAACAATATAATAATATTACCATTAACAAAAATTGTAACCATCCTGTTTCCAAGCCACTGAGAAGTTTGTTTCAATGAAAATGTTAAAAAACGGTAAGAAAATCTTTCTTAAACTGAATATGGAAAATCAGGAGCAAGTCTGATGCTACAGAAATTAACGCTTGAATCTTAACGCTTCATGATTTGGAAAAGCTACTGTTGTTAAAATTTTCCTTTCTCCTTTTTGCTGATTGCTGTGGTAGAGTGGATGTTGGGGGTGCAAAACTCCTCTGATGTGTGTAGTAAGATGAAAGCACCAGCTCTCAGTAGCTTTCTACTCTGAAACTACTGAAGAGAGACAGATTAGAGGTCAGGGCAGCTGACAAGTGCTCATATAATATTTATTTATTAATCAGTCTCACCCTTTAATGCACCAGTTTGAACAAAAGAACTTAGTATTAAATATGTATTTCATTAATTCAGGTCCAATTATCAAATAGACTTGTAACTACAGACAAATTTTTATTCACTTCTATTACTAGCTACCAGAGTCTGAGGGTTATCTATAAGCAATTAAATTTACTTGGAATATATGCATGCATATCCATAGGCAGTTTGAATTAAAGAACCCTTCACAAATTTAATACCTCATTAGGGTTAGTCTGTGTAATATAGAAAGTTTAGTTTAGAAACAGAATTTCTAATTTTCAGAAATATACCGTTACAAAGTGGAAATTTCATTAGCCTAACAGCAAATTTACACCAGGTTAGTGTTTCAGCAAAAGAAGTTCCTTGCAAAGTCAAAAGTTAACTGTATTAAAAGTTACACAAATCCAAGAATGTGCTTGTAATTTATATATAAAAAGTGACAATGTAAGATCTGAATTTCAGTGATCTTAACACATTTTCAAAGTCCATAGTTGAATCCACCTGTTCCTGCCTTAAACTATTACTTGAATTGACACATGCTTACACTTTTAAGATTTGCATCAAATAATTCACAAGTCTACCACTGCTGCCCATCTTTAACGGTCTATGCTGGTATGCGGGTTGCAGCTTCCTCTTCTGCATCAGCTCTGTTGGCATTTATTTCTGCCAGCGTTCGACCAAATCGAGTCCACTCATCGCTGCGAGGAACGGCAATTTGCTGTTGACAAAGATAACATTATTTAAACCTACCAGTACATACAAACTGAGCTCATTTTGAACAGCAGTATTTGTAAGAGGTTCTGATAGAACAGCTTACCTTTATTTAGTGCAACTTTTAAAGTAGTCTAAACATCAGAAGCTCTAACTAATAAAAGCAGCAGAATTTGCAAGTCCAGTATTTATGCAGTGATAGTATTACACGCTTGCATGATATGCTTCTGAGATACTACCTCCAAAGAAGAACAGTAATGCAATGTCTGCATCCGATCAGTCACGTACTACTGCAATACACATACTTCAATAGAAACAGCTTCCCTAAAGAACCAAGTCAAGACTTCCTCAATTCATTTTTTTTTTTTTGTTCAATACTTCTGAAGCCATGGTCAGAATTCACAAAAAAAATGGATAGGAAGAACATAAGATTCCAGCAAACTTTAAAGCTTTCTGTTAATGGCTTCATCTTATTTTGCCAGCTGTACAATAACGTTTTTACTTTTTGACTGTGTAGCTGACAGATGGCATGCTAAGAAAGGCAATGAAGCTGGTGAAGGGTTGAGAAAACCAGTCTTATGAGGAGCAGCTGAGGGAACTGGGGTTGTTGAAAAGGAAGCTCAGGGGAGACCTTATCACACTGTAGTATTACTTCTAAGGAGACTATAGCGAGGTGGGCACCAAGTGATAAGGGGAAATAGCCTGAAGTTGCGCCGGGGAGGTTTAGGTTGGATATTAGGAGAAACTTCCTTACTGAAAGAGTTACGTGGCATTGGAATAAGCTGCCCAGGGAAGCAGTTGAGTCACCATTCCTGGAGGTCTTCAAGAAACTTGTGTATTTAGAACTTGGTAGCATGGTTTAGTGCTAGTACATTAGTACTAGGTTAAAGGTTGAACTAGATAATCTTAGAGATCTTTTCCAACCTAAATGATTCTGTGATTTTAAATCATGCTAGAATACTTGAAATAGACATCTAAAAGAAAAATAATTTGATAATAAAAATTAAGCCTTATTCCTTTAAACCAGAGGAGGGGGGAATTTACAAGGAAATTGCAAAACACAAGTCAAAAAAGCTTGAGTAACAACAAAAAAGCTGTAATATACTTTGCACAACACATGGTATACATACCTCTCCCACATCGTATATAACTATTTGTCCCTCTGAATCACCTACAGCAATCTCTCTCCCAGAGTGCGTCCATCTCACACGGTTCAGAGCAGGATTGCCCTCCACAGTAATGCTCGCAGTTGGCACCTGTATCCATTTAAAACACATTGCTAAATATGCACAAGGATTTCTTAAGTTACAGAACATACCTTATCCCTCAATGATTTATCAAAGTACCCAATATCTCAATTTAGGCAGTTTGTAGGTCTCAATTTACTCTCAGCGGCCATAAGCTATCACTAGTGATATAACCAAAACAACACATCTTCTGTCTCTTGGCACTATCAAAAGGCACATCTGCACTCCTGCCATGACACAGGAGGCACATGCCTTTTACCCCCCTGATAGACATGCGTTAATCAGACAGCAAGGAGGAGCCCTGGGAACTCAGGAAAGACTTATAGATAGAGGGCTGGCAGGTCAAATCCAGCCCAGATGCTAGAAATGGGCAACTCCAGTTAAAAAATATAGGCTGGCATGTGCTGCTTCTTCTACAGGACTACTCTTTCTTCTGTGTGCAGCTTTAAGACAGTAAAATTTTAGAAAGCTGAGTATCTGTATGATTTTTCCTCTCAACTACCTCCAACAAGTTTAAGTCTCAGAAAAGGTTTATGCAATAGGTAAGTATACAGCTTACACCAGCAATCCTAAATGTTCAATCTTCTAAGTTTAGAAACAAATTACAATTTCACTGCAGTATTACTATGGCAATAACAATATGGCAATAAGAACAATGGTGGTGTATGGGTAGCAGTTTTGTTCATACTGTTAAACTGCAGGCTGCCATGGCTGTATTGGGGGTGGTCTAAAAATTTACTGTCACAACATGGATTGGTATTAAGCTAACACGTTTTATGTTCATGTTACTGTTAAAACAATTTAATTACTGTTGCTATTAATTATTTAAGTTACTACCCTGTAATCAAAGAATATTTATTAAGCAGCAACTACTGGAATTACAGAATATTTAAGAACAAACAACAAAAATCCTACGGTGAACTCTTTACACTTTTTTCTAAAGTGTACAAAAAAACCTTTCCTGCTATATTTGACTGTTAACCTCACTCTCCCTCACCTCAGTGTCATTGTTGAGATTCCACAGGTCAAGTCTGCCCATCCCATCCACACAAGCAAACAAGGCAGGGTGAGTTGGAGACCACATAACATCATAAACATAGTCTGAATTGTCTTCAAATGAGTAGAGAGGTTTGTTATTCTGAAAAAAAAGCAGATGTAATGCAATACCTAAAGTCAGCATTTCAATTTCAAAAGCTAACAAGTAAGGTAAAAATACAGAACTTCTCAACAACATTATGAGAAATAACTAAAAAATGATTCACATTTTAAACTTACTTAAAAAAGAAAAATACCACAATATAACAGCAAAAAAAAGCAATTCTGGCAATAGGAATGCCAATTCTGAGCCTCTACATGCAGTTTAATTGACTTTTGGTGCTGTCCTCTAGTCCTCCACAAAATTGTAAGAAAATGTTTGCAGTACACATAATACGAAGAAACTGAATTTACATGATTTGCATTTGATTATATTGTAATCATTGATATGAAAGGGCAAAAGGTTAAGCAGAATGGATCAAAAGTACACAAATGATACACAATCCGAAAGCAATGACATCTTCATATCATTAACTAGTTTTGTTTATCAGCTGTCTTCTCTTTGTAAGAAACTGAAAAACAAGCACCAGGAATCAACCAGACTACTGCTATGGACCTTGAGGGCTTCACACAATTTGCCTTCAGTTCACTGAAGTTTCTTAAGTAGCTTACATTATAGCACCACCTTGTGTCAAGGATTATGAAGAGAACCACTGAACTATCTATTTCAGTTACCTTAGTTGTCCAAAGCTTTACCGTCCAGTCAAAAGAAGAAGTGACAAAGAGATGTGAGAAGTCTACAGGTCCAACTGCTGCATGGCAGTGAATACCTGTGATTGGTCCCTGGTGTCCTTCAAACATCTCACTGATTCCAGCTTTGCTGTTTTAGAATATATATATATAAAAAAAAAAAAAAGTTAATATCTCTGGAAACCATCCATCTGCAGACAAACAGCACTGAAATACAGTTTAAATTTAGCACCAAGAAGATTTTGCCACTTTGTATGGATGTTACCCAATTGCAAAGGCTTCATCTGAACAGGCTCGAATATGGACCTTAATTCCAGTATCTCTTTTCTACACTCTTTAAATGCTAAAATTTACCACAGGGAGCAGAGACTCATTCAGCAGGTACCAATCCACTCATTTAACTACACTGTTCTCCAACCAATAGCTAAAATTTTGAATCATACGAAAAAAAAAAATCCAGTCTCAGGAACTCCCACTTACTTGAAACAGAAGATGCATGTACCTTGTGGACACACACTAGGATTCAGACATAAAAACTAACAACATATTCCTAATAGTCTCCTATCAGAAGCAATGAAAAAGGAGGGAGGAAGGGGGAGAGGAGAGCTGGGAAGAACGTTACAGAGAAGTGATACAATTTTGGCTATTCTGGAACCAAAAAGCTGTGCAGCAAGGGTGATGTGTATTTCAGATGAAACCTGGACACTCAATTATATTTAAGAAAGCAATTGATAAGATACAGTCAGACAATTTCAAAATAGATTGAACAGCAGGAGAAGAGCTAGCCAATTTAAGATTTGTGCGTGATGTTACTGTACAATTATCTGCAGAACTGATATAAAGTTTGGAATGTTCTGCTACAATTCAAATGAATAAAACCTCAGTGACCTGTGCTGCCCCCATCACTGCAAACAACTCGCAGCCAATGAAGAGAGCATAGTACCAATTCAATATTCAAACTCCTTCTGTTTTTAATGAAGCTCCTACTCGGAAAATAGCATGCACTGGAATTCATACACAGCTACCTTGAACCCCATCAAGACTGAGGACTAAGCACGCGCTATGAATATATTAGCAGTGTAAAACATACAGGGATTCATCCTTTTGCTGTTTTTAAGTCCTTTGAATAACTAAAAACTTTTATTCACCTGCCATGGCGGCATGCAGTGTAGACTGAGCCTTCTTCACTTCCAACAACGAAGTTGTTGACATCTCCAATGGGGAAGGACATGCAAGTAACAGCCACAGCCTTGGACTGTTTGTGAACCAGCTCCATGCTATCCTGTAGTGAAAATATCAGTAAAATACTTTTAAAAATAACAAACTGAGTATTATCATTTACAAGGTTAGATTTCTCAATTGTTAAGTATTTTTTGTATTTTGCTTATATAGAATTGGGCAGAAATGAGCAAATTTTTTCTTGTGTTAGTGGCCAAAACAATTTTAACAACATCCCACGGGGCAGAAGAGGTCTTTTATCAAATGTCTACTAAGCTACCTTAAGAATACTTCTGTATTGTGAAAATGTTTTTAATACTTTATTAGAGACATTATGTTTTTTACAAAATAGCTATCCGGAATAGATACTATACATATCAAAAGTTATCTTACCTGTGGCTGGGAAAGCATGTCTAAACTCCAAGAGCATATCTTCCCATCGGTTGAGATACTGATCAAGTTATGAGCATTCTGGGTCCCAACAACATTTACACAGTACACTGGGTGCTAAGAATGTAAAATACCATCAGAAATAGGAATTCCCAAGTCTCAACCAATTCTGTTACAGTTAATATACTGTAAAATATATAGTTTCATTTAGTGAAAGAGAAACAGTTGATCACAGTATGGTACAGAGAATGCTTCCCTATAAAACAAATAGCAGTTTTTCTGACACTTTCATTTTTATGAATAGCCCTGTTCTTCAGTGATAACACTGGAAAAACATGGACATAAACATTTAAGCATTATAAATCAAGTGCACTGGACAGTTTCCTAGAGGTTAAATACATCTCAACAGGAAACAGTCCTTGTAGATATTTCACCCCCTACCGTGTGAGCAGCAGCTGAAAGCGGAGTTCTCTGCACTGGGGTTCTCTTATTGCTGCGATTATCCCATAGCACTATTTGGCCTGAGTATGTGCCACCAACCACCAAATTGGGATGAAATTTTGCAAATGTAGCTGACATCACTGCTGACTGAAAGGAAAAAACAACCAAAATACACAAATAACTATCATTCGCTGACATGACATCTAAAACCAAAAGAAAATGTGACCAAGTATCAGAGTAAGTTCTATGTCTATATTTAATACACTATTTCAGTGTCCCATCACATAGGGTTCAAAACTCTTTGTGAATCCCAATAAGCTTTTAGTTTTAACTTGCATTCCAAAAATGAAGTCTTCCTCCTCTGTTTTTCCCATATGTATGCATTTGTATTTCCTCCTAGCACAGTTTGTTAGAAAGGGAAGGTCCAGCAATGCACAAGACTTTAATAATATTTACCACATTCTGTGGTCATTTTCTTTGAGAACATCGAAATTGGTCTCAATACAATATAGCTACTTCTGCAATCTGGGTTTTGACAGTAATCTGACAACACGGGATTACGTTTTCATTCAACTATGTAATTTTTCAGAATTATGACATTTTGAAAATTATGTGGCTATTCCAGACTTAGCACAATGAAACAGACTTGCATATTTTTATTTTTTTTAATCTTTCGTAAAAACTACTAGGAAACTTCCATCTGCCTTTTTCACTTGCAGCATATGTTTCTCGTTTTCATCGCTGCTCCACCTCCTCAGGCCATCTTCATTTTATTCAGTAAACTACACTCTAGCAGTACACAACTCTGCTCAGTCTCCTTACATACAAACCTTCTTTGTAGTTCAACCATTACACAAGAAGGTTTTTGGTTTTTCAAATAAAATAAGAAAACGAGTTCTTAAGCAAGACTGAACTCTGAACGATGTCAGAAATTCTGGAACAGAAGAATGTTTCTAAACTAAGGTCTCTAGCTATCAACATCTGTTTGCAAATACATGTGGTTAAAGTGAATGCCAGCCCAATGAAATCATTACACTGACAAGCACAAGGAAGGTACTTGTCCAGGCTCATCAACATAAAATCTTTAGCCTCCTGAGACAGAATCATACCTGGCAGTGAAAGACATACTCTGGGGTAGTTTTCTTGTACTTCATATTCCACACAAGGGCCACTCCATCAGGCTCATGAGGTGCATCCTCATTGTTGTTGTAAGAGGCTACAAGTAATTCTGGGTACTGAAAAATACGTGAGAAAGATTCAAAATAGCAAGATGATTAACTAATGGTCCAGACAATCCTAGAATCTTTGTTTTGTGATGCCAAAACACAGTAAAAAGAAAAACAACATGACTGAAAATCATTTACATCATCCCCGTGAGAAACAGTGTCAGTTAAAACAGCATTTGTTACAGATTTAGCTTATAATTAGTATGTTAATACTGTTTTAAGTTCTTGGATTTTTAAAATTATATCTTGCTTTTAAATGTAAAACTCAATACTTTTAAGTGAGCTTTGTTTTATGCACCTAACACCTCTACATAGCTCATAAAACAGAAGCAATTATGAAGATTTTTTTCTTTATAATACAAAGATTTTGCTACTTTTTACAAAACATTGATGTTTGCAAGGTACTGAGGATGTAAGAACTGTTCTAAGGAACACACTTAGAAATACAGCCTATATTAATTTTACTTAGAGAAGGGTCAAGTGGACAGAGCTAGAAGAACTCACAAAGATGACTGCTTAATATAAGCATTTTTTACCTGAGATGACCAGTCCAAACAACTGACAACACGATGCTTTGACCAACGTTCATCAAAAAACTGCCTGTTTAAGGATAGCTTTGCTCCTGCTTGAATCTCTCTATAAAGGCAATTAGAAGGTATTAATCTCTGACCATTTTTAGAGTTAAAATATTGCACATTCACACTAAAGCATTCAATGTTCATGTTACCCTTCTTTGTCTTCTAAGTCTCTTCCACTGTAGTCAAAGAAAATATTGATTTGCTCGGAAAGGGCTCTTTCAACAATCCTTGTAGAGTGGTCAAAGAAACTTAAAAATTCTTCAGAATGCAAAATTTGTTGTTTTTCTTCCTCTGTAAGTTCATGAGGGGCAGCTGGAAAACGAGTTATACACAAAGTTTCTGTAATGCATACTTCCAAAATTTTTTTTTTTTTTGGGGGGGCGGGGAGGGGGACAGTATTCATCATGATTCTGGAAAAATTGTTTCCAACCAGCCATACAATAACTAAGTGTTAAAATGTAGCTCAAATTATTTTCAACTTAATGGAAAGAAAAGTTAAAATGTATTAATGTTTTTCTTTGTAGCACAAATAACTATGAGGTACCTTCCTCCTCCTCCTCCTTTTTAAATGTTTTTTCTTCCTCAGGTTCAACTAATGGCTTTGGTGCAACCACATCATCTTCATCTTCCTCATCTAAAAAGAAAAAGTATAGTGAGACTGTCATTGTTTTTAAAGAGGAACAGTAACATTCTGTAGGAATCTCAAATATATAAAATGGTGTAATTTAGCTTAAAATGGTTGTATTTATAAAGTGTAGTTCCCAGAATAATGTTATCTCAAACCAAAGATCATTGCAATGCTGTCTACACCTGGATTTTAGTTGCGGTAAATTATGTATTTGTATAAACTGAAAAAGAGGGATTCTTTACAATTTCTTACGCAAAGTAGAAAACTCTCTTATAAGAATTTATGATTTACGATGACAAAACCATGTGGTAGATGTATGTTCCGTGTAACATCCTGACACATTAATGTTGCAGAATAAAGAAAAATCAAATGTCTAAAATAGTCTACAGAACAGATGCTTACTTGTGATCTGAAACCATCAGAGTTTAATGGGTCTTCATATGGCATGAAGATGGCTTACATTAGCTTTCAGGTTGCTATTCTGAGAGGCAAATTTTGCTAAAGATAATAGCAGGGAGATTGTCATTCTAAATGCAAGTCTCATTATCTGTATCATGTTTGGCAATGAGAACTTTAGAGCAAAATGTGTTTTCCCTAATTGCAATGAGTAACATAAAATGTTAATGTTCGGGAATGCTGACAAGGTTTACAGCACTTTCTGCATTTGTACACTTTATTCTTTAAATACTGTAAACCAGAAAATGACTTTAAATTATTTGGTGTTGTTGAATAAGCATTTCCTGGCCTTTCTTTATCCACTTGCTCATACAAGCTTCTGAAAAGCTATTTTTATTGGTTAAACAGCTATGTCATTTGTCTATAAGGGAATGGCAGCAGGAGTCTACTACACGCTTCATCACAAGTAACGAGGCAGTTTTCAGCAGGGACTAGGCTTGTTTGTTGCAGCCATCTCTCTGACCCATGTTCAGCTACCTAACAACAACAAAAAATCCACATACACATAGACACAAAAAGAGGGGGGGAAAAAAAGCGTGGTCAGGGGATGGGAACCAGCTGCCAAGCCATGGTCCCAGCAGCCAGGCCAGCTGACTAGATAGCAACAACCAGATGGTACTGCTAGGATTGTCTCTCAGCTATGAGGTGGCAATGGGATGGCACAACATTTTTCTGCCTGACTGCCTCCAATCATGTCTTTCCCCAATGGCAAGCCTGTGCAATTACCAGCACTCCAGGAGGTCTACAGACAAGCCTTTACCCTGCAAACAAAATACAGCTTGTAGGCCATACCAGCTGCCAAACCACACACATAGTGATAGGTTTAAAGAGGTCTGAAAATCTTTCTAACTCCATAGTATAGGCAATAAAAATATAACTGTACCTGCAGGAAAGAAAGCTTTAAATGACACTGTATAATGCACACAATAATACAAACTCCAACTTAATCAAAATGATAATGACGTATGCCAATCCTACATTACTTGAAATTGAGCGATTTTTACGTTCTGACAAGTTTACAGAACTAGGATAAATGGCATGAATGATTTCAATATATGCTCATACTTTTGAACCAAATGGTGAAGGTTAAAATCTTTCCTTTCAAGGGCCTCAATCAGCCACAAAGGAAAACAGTAATCACTGTCTTTTCAGCCAGCCCAACCGCATTTGTCAGCCCTTTCTCCGTCAATGCAGCCAGAGCAATCAACCTGCCAAACATTCAGAATGGAAAAACAATCTGAAAATACAGGGTATAATGCACCTGCCAGTGAAAATGGCCATTTCAAGAAAAGCTAGTGATCTCAGTGACCCTGCTGAGGAGGCGGTGGTGCAAAGGGGAAAGAACGCGTAAAAGAATTCTTAGTGATCTCCACTCTCTTGCACATTGACACTTCCTTACAAAGCATGCCAATTACAGCTTTTGTGCTACTTAAAAAAAATGAAAGCTTTTTTGGGCAAAATAATCACGCAGAGAAACAGAAAGACACTGCTCCTTTTTAGATGGATTCACATGTACAGTGGACTAGTAATCTGAAAACTGTATAACTTCTAGCAATTCTAAAGCACAGATTTCTTAATGTCAAATCACTATAGGTGCGAACGCTAATTAATTAAAAAAATGTAATATGAGTTAACAGACATGATTTTGAGAACAGTAAATACAGGACCACATGTTCACATTACAGTCACTTGGACAAAAATCCCCCTCTCGCTATCCCTGCCAATCAATAATGCAGATTTAAATGACACCTTAAATTCAGATATTTGGTTTGGGGTCACCCGGGATACATTAGTCTAGCTTTGAAAGTCCCAAATTAGAAATTTCAACCCAACCCCCCTGCTAGCCATACTACACTGATTCTAAGTACCATTTTCAGTGACAGGAGTCAAATTCTTGTCAAATGCAGATGGTCAACCCCTTAGTGCTAAGTGACCTTCTAATCTACATATTTTATTCAAAAGATCATATAGTTGATTGCTCATGCCTTTTAATGTTTGAAACATAAATGGCATATATTATACAGAGATCTAAATTCCTTCATAGTACTTTCACTGCATACAGCCAGCTGATATTACTGCATTTAAATGCAGGATACAACACTTATTTTAATATTCTCGAAGTATCAGACTTGAAATTGAACATGTCATCTCACTGTGATTTATCTGTAACTACACAAATCTAAAACCTTCTCTTTAAAGAAGTCACATGCAAACTTTATTATTAAGGGATTGGGGGGATGGGGAAGGGGGAGAAGCAGCAAGTTCTTGATCTCATTATCCAATACCAGGATGCTTTCTCACAGACATTTACAAAAGGCAGCATGAAGCTGTTGGACAATAAATGAGATATTTTTGTTTTAATTACTTCTCACATATCTTGAATTTATAAAATCATAGTTCAGGTACAGGTATTTGCAAAGAATTGGTAAAAACAGTAATTATTACCCAGCAAACACTGGAAGACTACATAATTCCTGAAAAAGCTGCACAACTAAGTCAAAGATCCACTTGTTTCATTGGCGTACTGTATTTAATGTCAGTTATGTAAGTGTGGAAATTTTAAAGGCACTGACTAACCTCATCCTTGTTATTCATTAATAACTACCTACTGATGCTTTATGCTACTTCAGTTGTCAGTATACCACATACAATTCCTCAATTAAAAAAAAAGCACGGTTGTTAAGACCTAGAGAAGTCATAGGGTTCTAAAGACCAGAAATGGGACTCTGTCACATCAACATATTGATGAATATTCATCATAAGATGCTAAACAATTAACTCCATGTTTTTTTCTGACAGGGGAGCAGGGAATCTTGGTTTATAAACAGCCATCTTCACAATGACAAATTTCTTGTCAATGGATGTTAAAAACAGGTTTAATGAACCACAGAATTTTGACTTTGAATTAACATCAGAATCATGATGTATTTTGGCAAGATGGAAAGAAAAGCAGTACTATATACTAGGCTGCACCCAGCAATAACACTACAGAGTGAAAGTTCCAGTTGTCTGAGTAATCTGTTGCTGCAGAGTAGGTTAATCAAAGTTAAATCATCTGTGAAATGGGTGGCTTTTGTTAAGTAGAACGTGTCTTCATATCAAGTTTTCCCATCTATATTTCGCTGTACATTTAAGGCATGTAGGGGTAATACATGAATATATAAGGCTCCATTATTTCTTGTTACAATATTAAAATGTAAAAGTGCTACATTCACCATTAACAAGAATCCAATAGGCCAATCTTACACCCTAAATCGCTATTAGTCTGCTTAAGTCAGGACAAAAGGACAAAATTAAAAGGACAAAGTGCTTAATATCCTCATTCTATGTCTTGGAGACTTTACCAGACAATAACTCCTCAAAGAGGGGAGCTAATGCAACAATACTGTCTGCAGTTACTTGTGATTGCATATGCGCTGTGTTGTACAGAGGCACTAAATAACAAATAGCCTGTTAGCCCAGGAAAAGCCTTAACTGAGACAGTTGGGCAGAGCTGTATTCACTTATATGCCTATCTTTCTTTGGATTAATCACTTTCAGGACCTATAATATTACATCTGGCCGTTATTGGATATACTGATGACTATTTTCTTTCTATGCAAATTTCAACATTATGTCAGCAAATCACAACGGAAGATATCAAAAAGTACATTACAGAGCAGCATAGCTAGAACTATAGATAAGACAAAACGCAGCACTGGTGATTACAGTACTGTACATGGGGGCCAACACAGAGCCTGCAGAACAAGAAGAAGTAATCCAGAGTTCACACATAAATTGCATCTCCGCTGCTGAAACTGCTTCTATCACTGCCTGCTAAAAAGAAACAAGTATATGAAGGGAACACAATTTCAAGTGTATTTTCTAAGAGTAGATCTAGAAGTCTGCTGCCTGATACAGCATGCCAAATAGAGGCCAAACGATAATCCTAATAACCAGTTGATCACAGTAACTAAAAACAATGTCCACCAAAATTGGACAATGAGGGAAGTGGGCAGCAGTGCTGTACACAGAACCATGAGAAGTGGGAAATTGATTTAGACAGCAGAAATGGGGATAATAGAATGAAGATGCTGGGGAATGAAGCCGCCTAAAACCAGGATGTTCACGTTATCATGTTGACAAAGATTATTGAAGTGGTAGTAATGGCACAGAGGCATAGATGTTTAGGCTTATCAGTTACAAAGTAAGGGAGGATAGCACTAAGCATGGCACAACACTTAGAAAAATTAATCTCCTTGGTCCCTAAACCAAAAAAAAAAGTCATTGTTACTGTGTCACAGAATGGCAAAAACAGGAACGTGCCAGGAAGATGAGAAAAAATGAGCATCTCTGCTATATTCCTAGGAACAATGAACCATTCCATGATTACATTTCAGTTCCTTTACATAACAAATACAGCTGTTACAGAAAGGGTAGGATTAGAGGATTGAGACTGTTGAAGAATTTGGAGAAAGAAATCCAAAATGTGAAAAAAATGAAAGACTGAAGTGACACATTTAGGTTTTCATTGAAGCAAGAAGCTCAAGGAGCACTGAAGTCTCCACCCCGACACCATTTCTTATTGTGTTTCTTCTCTATGTCCTTAGTGACTTATTTGTATACATTGAACCCAGAAGAAAAAGCACAATGGGTGCAACCCATAGCTATGAGAAAACCATAAAACAAATACTGCAGATTTACCATCTAAGTCTACTTTGGGTATCTTCTTACAAGAACGATGAAACATGCTTAACAACTTCAAGGGGAAATTTATTATTCTGTACTGTACAGAATACAGTAAATAACTTCCTGTGACACAATACTTCCTACTCTAAAGGCAACTAAATCTCTAATCACAGACTGAAACTGATTTTTAGGAGATATATTGACTTTATTCTTTTATGATGCTATAGGAAGAATCAATCTTCCCAAGACAAACACTGAGGTCACAATAAGTCAGCCTGTCAGTACTTCAATTCTTTGCATAGAGGGGCAACGCTGCCACTAGCACTGAGGTGACATTCTAGCTCCAGCATCAGGGGCTACATGCAAACTGGTCATGCTTTCATGCCAAGCAGAGAGGAATGATCACTGGCTCGAACCAGCTGCAGCTGAGAAGCCTATCGAGAAGATAGAGGGGAGAGCCACTTCATGTTTAATATTACCTAGGACAGCACAACATGTCTGCACTACAGGGAAGCACGATCATGTAAACTTAGTCTACCTCCCTTCTCTAACTAGAAGAAGCATTTTCCTGCTTAGATTTTTGAACAACTGAATGCTGTCCTTTCTGTCAACTTCTGAGAGGTCTGACTTCCACCTTTTTAAGCCAGAACCATTACGGTGAAAGGTATTCATAACTTGAATTTAACTCCATTACGCTGAACCTAAAATGGACGTCTTCAAAGGCCAACTTTAAGCACGAAGGGGGGCACGAAGTCTCCCCTGTGTAATAGTTGCTTTAATTGTGTTGCCACAAATATTTCCATGGCAATTAGCAACTCTTTCAGTTTAAAGCTAGTTTTCCCCAACTTCCTCTCTGTCCCAACAGACAATAGTTTTAGCTTGAATGTTTCTCAGTTCAGGTCACGATATAACACAAAACCAAGATACTGTCATTAAAGTAGGTTCTCTTCAGTTCATTTTATAAGAAGAAGTGAACAATGGATCTAAACTAGCTGAGATGTCAACTTAAATTGTGAACATAAATCTTTTACAATGCAATGATGAGCAAGCATCTTCAAGTGACTTCTGTGAAGCACATATATATAAAACTAAAGAGTGTACAGAAAACAGTATTGTTTTTAAGGTAGAATGGATCATGAGACACTATCTCTACTAAGACAGCTTTCGGATAAACACAGAAGTACAGGTGACCCAACTTTATAACTCCCCTATAGTAAACGTCAACTACAGCCTGTCCACTTAGGGTGAAACTAAGATCATACAATGCCAGGCAATTTCCACTGACAGCAAGCAGCACAAGTAAAACTCTTTGAGCACACAAACTACGAACTAAGTCTTCAGATACCATGGTGAACCTGACAGAGGGAAGGAAAAAAACCTCAAGGATTAGAGAATGGAAAAAGTGAAAATTGGGGAGAAAAAAAATAAGGATACAAAGCCTTCAAGTAAGTTGTGTGTGGGTTCTTAGGTGTCATAAATGCAAAATACATCCCACTTTTTGACCAGCTGTCAGCTACTTAAGCAACTTGGTGTCTATGCGTCATGTTTACCACGAGTACAAAACCGCCATGTTTTATTAACAGAGCAATGTTACCATTAAACAAGATGCAGAATGACAACAACCCTCTAGGCAAGACATGTATGTGTTTAATAGAACTTGTATTAATTTTCTCACAAATCAATCTTCATTCTACCACATTAAGTTTCAAGATCACAAGTGTTAGCTCTAATACAGTCAGTAATCATTACTGCAATAAAATAAAAGAAAAATAACTTAGGTTGAAATAAGTTAATCATTCACCTTCCTTTGGCTGAGTCATAACCGGTGTTTGTGTCTCCTTTGTATATGTAACAATTTCTCGAGGAGGAAAGTCAACTTGTGTAATTTTGGCCATTCCAAGTTTAACAGGTCCACGTCTACATGAAATGAATAGAAACATTAGAAAAAACAGTTAGTTTTATGAATTACTTCACATTTTGACTAGAATAATACTCGTGTCATCACGTCACAGCTTTGTCAAACTTAAGCCAGGTGGAAATTTAATCCTGAAGAAGTCACAAAATTATGATTATTATTTTCACTATTATTTAAAATCAATAGCTATTTCTACATGTAAGACAAAAATAAAGACGTGCAAATATATACAGATATCTGATTATTTGATGTCATTTTAAAGCTTTGTTTTTGCAGTTGCCTAGGGTACTGCTACATATATGAAATACCCATATTTTCATTGTACTGATCTGCTCACATGACTATTTGGATTTATTTTAGGACTTTAAAACTTAAAAGAAACAGCTTAGTTACCCTGAATATAAAAGTATTTCCTAGTCCACTTAACTGTGCTGCATTTTTTAATTTATTTTCTTATTTTTTTAAATCTATCTGTAGGCTGCTATTTAGAACTCAGAACTGCAAGTCTGGTCTGAAACTCACACACTGACAAGTGATTTATCCATAATACATTACTCCAGTATATAATACTGGAAACCTCTGAGCTTTCTGACTTTAGCTTATGAAAGATGCTACAAACACAGAAAGCCAGTATCAAATTACAATGCAAAAATATATTTCCAAAAACTACACAATATTAATTCAGTCTTTGTAACATCCTGCAAAAGCATATGTACTGTAGTAATTACGTGAAGATCTACACTCCATGTAACTAAATTGCTGTTAATTTCTTATTAATGACCCCTCTCCTAAAATGAAAGAAAAAAAAAAGAATCTCCTTTTGAAGTTTTCAGTGGACAGAATCATAACTCATATAGACTGATATGGGTTTTATTAAGTAATTATAATGAGCTACAGCTCAATATAAACATTTGTCATTCATGTATATTATAAGATGGGAGTCATTCTGTCTGTTTTTACATGTCTAAGTTTTTTATTTTAAAGAAATTACTTTAAAGTTTGTCTTGCCAAAGAAAGACTCAAAGAAAACATCAATAAAGTAAGCTCTGTTACTAGAAATAAGCACATTATTTATATTAAATGAGATCAAAACTTCTCATTACCAGCAAACTGCACAGTATCTTGGGACACTGAACTACTGTAACTCACAGAACAGTCTCTTAACAGTAACTTGATGTCTTAAAGAAAAAGAATAGCTCTTATACATATTATCCAGAAGTATATGAAAGAGGGAATATAAGAAATCTATGCAATACCCCAGATCGGAATCAGAGTGGAGCTGAAGAACTGATGGATCAGTATCCCAATGCAGCGTCCTGATACCACAGGTTGAACAATCATGCAGCATTAGCAAAAAAGGCCAGAGATTAGTGAAGCAAATACACACTATGAAATGCTAGAGTTAAAGTAAGCTTAAAGTTATTTAATTGTTCACAAGAAACAAGGCAACATAACATCAGTTAAGGGAAATTCAGCAAATATTCAGTGCAATAAGTACTATATGCAGTAAATACAAAAGTTAAAAAAGCAAACAGAATTCAAAGCTATTAGAAAAGAATTAAAATCTTTTAAAGACTGAAAGTTAAAGATCTGCAAATAAATGCGGCCTTTGTGAGAGGCTAATAAAAATATTTTAAATAGTGACAAGAACCACTAAAAACTTTCCTATTTAAATCTGTTCAGATTTGTTCATGTCATATGAAGACAGATTTGTTAACGTAACGCAATACTGCCCAGAGCAGTAAATATGTGGAGGAAATTGTCATATTGGTAAAGGAAATGAGTCAACACATAAACCTTTTGGTAGAGGGGGAAAAATGCATTTCCACTGGGAAAGAGAACTGCTAGAGTTTCCAAGATGTGACATTGCAGTAATTATGGGTTAAGCACTGCCTTGGGCTTCTAAGTGTCATCTGATTTAGAGCCAACTCTATTTAGGATACTTAAATCTCGTAGAACTAGTGGACTTTATATTAATAACACATTTCAAAGTCATATGGAATAATGAACAGAACAGATCAAGTCACTTTCATATCTGAAGAAATATGAAGTGGGAACTAGATCTTCCCTCTCCTATCATCTTAAACCTTCATACCTTCTCCACAAATTTCCATTTAGTCTACCGCCTGCTATCAGGCTTAGGCAAAGTTTTAAAACAAGCATACAAGAGAGATTAATAGATGAACATGCATCTGAAGTTTTCAGATATTATTTTTTTAAATCATGTTTTGTAGCAAATGGAAAATTGTTTTATTGACTTATCATATTTAAATAATAAATTCTTTATTTTTTCAAATTTTATGCATGGCATGGCAATGTTCTTATAAAGCAAGCACAGAATTCCAAAACAAAGATGATCACCAAAATTTACAGGCAACATGATGAAAACTCACAGCTTCAAGTGTGCCATTCATTACTTTGTTCTTGTAGAAACCATACATTATAAGAACACTGAATTTTAATTAAAAATTACAAATCCACTGTTCCACTGTTAGTTAGAAAAATCAATCTGCGTAGCTGATAATGCACCCGTAGCCATAGCTTAATACCTGAATATCTAAAACCTTGACATATTTTCTGTGCATCAAAAAATACCCAATTTTACCATTCATTATTTTGAGTGTGCCTATTCTTTATGTCTCTGCTATTTTGTTCGGCTAAGTAGATTTAAGCCTGAAGTTTAATTTGGTGCCTGAGATTTCAGGCTGGATATTGTTCATATAGAGATTCAATCTTGCCATGCATATGAAAAAGAAAACAAAGCAAAACCAAACCACCACCTCCTCAACCTTCATGTTGCTTCAGCAAAGAAAAACTTATCTATAGATTCAAATGCTCCATCACCACACTTTGCCAACTTTTTCTGTCCCACTTAAGAGGAACTTAGGGAAAGCAACATAAATTTAAAAGGCTCCAACCTCTGTGCTTACTTAAGACCTAGTCGTTACTGAGGTTGCCCTCCTGTTTTCAAAGGTGTTTTTTTTTTATATTAAAATAACAATACTCCGCCTTTTAAAATAGTTAAAATCAACACGCACTATAGTACTTACAGTTAAATTCTTCTCAGAGAGATTCTTTAAAAAAGTGACATTCTGAGATAAAACTCACCTATTACATATGTATCACAAGCATACAAAATACTGTTCCTTTTGTTTTCCAGAAATTTGTTATGCCTTAAGTTAAATGAATTTATATATAAGCTTCAGTGAACTTACGCTTCTATTTATCCACATGCTTGAACTTGTTTAAATCTAGGTAAATTCCTAATACACATATATCTAAGAAGTAGTTTCTGCACTTATAAACTAATTATTTAAAATACCCACAAAACTTAAAAGTAAACTAACTATGCTAATTTCCAGTCTTAAATTTTTACTCTTAACTTAGAAAGAGAGAGAACGCTGAGGTGAGAAGGAACAAATGGTAACAAATGCAGAACCAAAACTCTTTACTGAAGTAAGTAAAGACAGATGGAAGTAACAGGAGGAACACAGTCTGAACACTGCTTTACTAATTACTAAATAAATGAAGTTACTGGCAATGTTCTGTATCAGAGACAATAAATGACTAAACTCATAAAGGAGATAATCATCATAAAGTATGGTTGTGGCATGAACAGAGAACTGTAGAATGGCCATATACCAAAAAAGAACTGAAATAACACACTGATGTGAACAGAAATACATACATTGAAAACAATACTCTCAATTTAAGATTATCAAGAACAGTAGAACTTGCCTTGCTAGCATACCACACATAGATATGAAGGCCACCTACGAAATGCCAGCTATAATGCTAGGGCACATCACACAGTCCAACTTTTAGGTTGAAGTGTATGCATACAATAGGAATGCCGTACAAATTTAGGATATAGACATTGTTTACTGGAGGAGGGGAAGAATGTTACCTGGTGGTCAGAGACTAAATAAGCAAACTCAGATCTCTTACAATGACATATATAGCCTTAAATTTAGCTATGAATTTCCTATCTCCATGCCTTGAAGACCACAGTCTTTCTATGCTTCCATGTGCGGAAAATTGTGCAGACCCAAATTTAAAGTTTACAAATGGATGAAGCTATAGAGGCTTAGGATGTAAGTTTTCTCAAGTCTTCATTAAAAAAAAAAAAAAAAAAAAAGCATGCATACAACAACACTATGTTGCTATATATCTGGAACATACAATCAGAGGACACAGTACACCTATGAGGCAGAAATAAATTCAGTACACAACATGGAGTTCAATTACAGATGTGGTGAAAATACTGTTTCATACTAACTTTAAATTATATACGAATGAAAATAGAAGCCTTTTTTACCCCCACATCAAGTAACTCTTCTTATGTTTTTTTTTTTTTCCCCTTCTATACACTGAATTTAAATATAAAATGACAGTTTAATAACCAGTAATCACAGGTTTCAAATAATTTAAAATTTGCTTGTTACTCAGTTAAGGAACAATGCTATTGGTTCTTTAGTTACATGACACATGGACTTGAACTGCATAGTGAATAAGCTATGCAAAAGACTGCACCTGAGTGTTTAAAAAAAAAAAAAAAAGAAGTATGGATTCATATCTGCTGCCTCTAGCATTCCTTGTTTCAATTTAGTGGTCGCTACTTTGAAATAAAGACCTTATCACCTTTCTTCAGGTCATTAAAAACTTGACTATTTTCAGGCTAAGACTGTGTACACATAACCCACAAGTGTACAGTGTACTCCAGTCTTCCAAAAAGATGTGTAAAAGTGGTATAATTATTCAGTCTTTCTCCAGAACAAAGATTCATTCACAAAGGATGAACAAAAGGAACTGAGGATGCTGTGCTTTAATGAAACTTCATCCACAATGTATATTCAGAAGCTACAGTACATGAGCAATGATTGTGCAGGGGAGGGAAAACGTTATCAGTGTTAATAGGCAAATGCTGCTCTTGTTCAGAGAGTGCGTGGAAAACATCAGAAATACCCTTCGGAAGTAGATTCCTATCTTATCACCCATAAAGCTCCATTCTTAGTTCCTAGTTTAATGAAAGTATTTAATTGACTCTCTTTACAGTGGCATTTCTCAAACTGTTATGAACAAAACATTGCTCAAAAGGATGTAGCAAGTAGCAAAACTGAAAAAAATGTGGCTATTCTAACATGCTTGTAGCTTGTGAGTCGTACAGTTAAGTTCTGAGGACAGCTGCAAGGTGAAATAACTTGGGAATACAGTTTTAAGTGAAAAAAAAAGAAATAAGGCAAGGTTTGTAGACAGCATTTTCTGTTAGATCCAGCAACATGGAGGGAAAAATAGCCAATATCCATACACACTCTCCTTTAAAGAGCTGGGAAGTTTGATTTTTTCTAGTTGTTCTTTTGTTCAGAGACATTCATGCTCACAAGAATATTATCACAAGACTTTCAGACTCTTTAAAGATGAAACTTTAAACCTGCGAGCTCAAAAACCTCAAAGTTTATGCTGGCAATCTAAAATCAGTTAAGCGTAGTTGCATTTCAAATTTAAAAGTAAAGCACTTCTGTAAAGTAGTCACTGTTCACAGATTCAATATTGGTGTAAATTGATATTCAAGTAATTAACTTTGATTTCTTCTAAAGTTTCATTATTCAGAATGCAAGTGTTAAGCAAAGGAATATAACAAGGTGACATACCTAGATCCAACAGCGCCATCACCCGAGTCCTGGCTTCCAGCCTCACTTGGCGTACTCACAGATTTGGAAGACGGAGAGGTAGGAGGAGGGACTAAATAGTGAAACAGACAGGTATCCGCTGTTACTACTCGCAGAGGTTGCACAGCTTAGGATGTTTTAAAATTAATTTAACATGAATCATTAAAAAAAAAGTGATGGCAAACAAAAAATACATGGATGAAATGAACAGTAGAAAAAGAGGGGAAAAGACAATGTTAACATTTCATGCTGGTCTTTCATGCAATTGTTTGGCATTTATGCATCTGGAGCATACAAGACGACATGGAGGGAAAAACATTAAGAAAAAATGACTTGAAAACAAATTTTTAAAAACAGAATTTTTTAAAAAGAAGGTAGCATCTATTTTTGCAGGACAATTCCCACTAAATCATGTTGATAAAACATAAAAGGAAGATACTTATTAACATAGCCTTTCTCAAAAATTACACACTGAAGGTATTTAACTGGTAATTTTATTTCAAAGCATATAATCACAGAAATGCAGACAAAAAAAGTGGCTTTGTCATGGAGCATACTAGTATTTTTGTTTTAGTTCTAGACAAATCAACACAAAATCTGTATATTACACTCAAGTTTGTTAGTGTTAACTTTTGGGAGATTTTTGTGGTTTTCTGTTTGTTTTTTGTTTTACCTGACAAGCAGGCTAGTACTGATACATTGAAACTTTTTCTTAAAGTCAGTTCATTTCCAGCATTTAGATGAAGATTGTAATTAAAATCACCATGTTTTTTTGGAACTGATACATAACAATGAATCATATACAATCTAAAGAATGTAAAGCTATATCAAAACTTTTTAACTTTTCCTTCTAGAAATAGTTATTTTTTTTGTTTGTTTTAGAAATAGTGAAACTCATTATTTAACAAAGCTTAAATTTATGTTTAAGAATCAGAATGCGCGTTGAAGGTTCTTTTATGCTTCACTTTTCAGTAACATGTAGAGCATTCATAGCATGGATTTACTCCTTAGCAACACCAAAGAATAAACTTTAACCAACTGAAGACCAATTAGTTATACAAGTTGGCATCTATCCTGTTAGAGGTCAGCCAAGGGAGAATTCTGAATTTAGATCTGCAGCATTTCAGGAGAATTTCCTGAAATCACAAGTATATTGGAAATTCTGAAGAATGTTTCCATCTTATCCCAAAACAGAGACATCATTCTGGTTGACAGAAATTCTACCCTGAACATGCAAAACAGTCAATATTTTGACTGTTTTTAATAAATTTACTCAATTCAATAAATTGAGTGTCTCTACAAGAGAGACTTTCATATAGGTTTAAAATCATACAGTTATAGTTCACAAATACATACACATACCTATATTTTATACACATGTATGGGTGTGTATGCACACAGATAACTTTTGAAACGTTCTCCAACCCAGCATCACTATCTACTGAATAGTTTATGCTAAAGGAAACATCTATAGGCCTTCATATTGTTACATGTCTGTGCATTACTGAAAATGACAGCATTTTAATGTCACCCATTCTTAAACAAACAGGTGAAATGACAAACTTATCTTGTCACCATTTAAAAAAAACACAAAAAACACACAAGAACTATATATACTGCTCTAGCAGTATGGCCAAAAAATTCAGTAGCTTAGTTTAATGATACAGTGCCCTCTTGTGGAGCAAGCTGTTTTTAGGAAAGCCTTCCCATTGGTAAGGCAGTATCTCTCCGATAAGTGTAAAGAACATGCCAAGTAAAAGTCCACCTATCCCAACAAAGGATGCCTTCTTGAAAGTTATTTGTTATTTTCATTCACATATATATATATATATATAAGTGAATATATATGATATATATATGATATATATATATATATAATATATATTACACACACAAATATACATGTATAATACATAAATAAATATATGCATTATATATAGAGAGAGAATGGTAGATATCAAAAACATACTTACACTAAGGTCCCTTCTCCTGTAAGGAAGCCACCTCTCCTTGGCAGTTACCAGGACAATAATTACCTTACAAATTCTTAATACAACTTCCTAGGAAGGAATCTAATCTCAAATAATCCACCCACACTAACAGCATGAGCTGAAGCCATCTGCACACCACGCTGGTCAGCTGTGTTGGCTTCAGTTCAGGTGCTTCAGCACTGTACTGTCATGCTTTCCCAGTACTCAGTCAGCAGACTCAGCTTGTGCCTCAGGCATGCTACTGAGAGGTAGCAAGTAGAACATTTTAGTTTGATCTAGCACTCATATTAGAACTATCTATCTTGAAAGGGAACAAAATGAATTATCTGTGTAACTGTGTACTTACAAGGCAGTGACTAAATAGGGGATCAACAGGATTAAATACAACACATGCAGGGTTGTGACCTGTTATCAGACGCCAGCACATCAAAAAAGTTTTTAAGGACTGGTCATCCTGTGTTTTTTAGGTTCTCTCTTACAGATTAAAAAACTAACCAAACAAACAAAAAAACCCACACCTATTTCTTTAAGAGTCTCATGTTAGCTGCCTCAGCAAAGCCATGTGCAAGGAGGTTTTCAAATATTTGCCTGCTGAAGAAAATCCCTAGTAGCTAAGAATTGATTACTTATATGCTAGTGCTAGCATAGCCCAAATGCAGTCTACCTACAACTGAACTGTGAGAACAACTCAAGCTATTAAAATTACTGCTGTGGCTGTTGGAATGGGGGCAGTGTTAATGTTGTTTATTTCCCATTCGTTTTCAAATGTTTGAGGACAGTCCAAAAGCAATTACGAAGTTGTATTCACACACAGACTATACCTAATTATTATTACTTTTTATTTGCAAACCCAGTTGAAATAGACCCTCATCATCACTGAGCCAAACTGAAAATTAAATTTTAACCCCTCTTTGATTTCAGAGACAGAGTTGAAAATTGGAGTTGAAGTACCACCCTCTTCACTTTCATTTACCAGAGATAAGTGGCTAAGTAAAGGCAAAAAGCAACAACCAATATACTAATCCATTGAAGAGCAGCACAGATACGAATCATCATCCGTGGCAGTTAAATTTTATACTTAGCCTTGCTATTACTCCATCAAATTCAGTCAGGTATTTGAGATAAGGAAAATTAGGACATAAAAGGCACAGAAAGAAAACAAGCCAACCCCACATGAAAATATTAGGATTAAGATTTAGCATTATGAGAAAGGGGAAAAAAATGTGCAGGGAGAACTGAAAGAGAAAACAACAAATTTGTGATACTTATAACTAAAAAACTCCAAATAATCTTAGTAGAAAGCATATATTTTATGAATCTTACTAGCAATGTGTACTGAAGCACATAAACATATCACTAGACATTTGTAACAGAGACAAAGTAGTACCAGAAACAAGACATGCATACCCAAAAAACAGTGGCCATAGAAATTTCATGCTACTTATATATGTATCACAATACCACCACCAACAAAACACTTCTTATAAACTAATATAAATATTCCTACCAACAGGAGATTCCGGTGTCAGCCCCATGCTCTGAAGTAATGCTTCAGCTTCTCTTCTCTTCTTTTCAAGATCAGATTCTTCTTGTACAGGAAGAACATCCTTCTTCTGATCAGTCTAAAAATAATTCAATATCTAAATTCTGGCATTTAATAGGTATTAGGAATGGTTTCACTTTATTTCTCACTGCATTTTTTGTGATACTAAAACCTATAATCATATGGGTTAGTTACTTGACTCTATCTACAGAAAGCATCTTGGGAATTACTAAAGCAAAAACAGAGGGAATCACAAGTTTTGCAGCTTTAATACTATCTTTAAGTAGTTTTCTTTAATAGTAGTTTTGTAATCTACTAGATTTCACACACAAGAAAGTATTAATATCACACCCTTATCCTTATATAATTTAGAAATAATGGAAGCTCTACTGTGAAAGATTTGAACACTCCTTATTTTTCCACAATTCATTTAACTGCTTACTCAATTACAGAATTTAAATTCATAGTTTAAGGTGTTCAAAACTCAGTCACTGTCAAGTGAATATTTCTGTAAAAATAAATTAATTATACAAATACTAGCCTTTAGCAGATGCAGCAAAATCTAGACCAAGTTACACTAACCCTACAACATGATTAAAGACTAACTGCTTCTCATGTTACTACACATCATACTTCTGATCTACTCTACGTCTTTTAAAAAAGCTATTTCCAAACTTTAGAGGAAGATCAAAACTGATAAGCTGGGAATCATATGGGGAATCTCAAGTACAGACAATACGTAATTGCAACATCATCAGAACATAACTTGAGATATTTCCCTCTCCAGTTTGTCTGAATCATTTTGCTGGCAGCTGCCCAGACTTCAATCATAAGCTAATTTAGAACTTGTATAAGATCATAACCAAAAGAGAGGATGTCATGACAAGGGACACAACACACGAAAGCATTCCAAAAGAAGTTTTGTTTACGATCTGCTTTTCGGAGAAATGTAGCAATACACCAGATTGTCACTTACAGTAACAGAGAGAAATCCAGGAGACTGTTAACAAATCAAGTCTAACACACAAGTAGCACGCATGTCCTGAGCATTGCTCTGACTTTAAAATTCAGGTTAAAGATGAATCAGAGCAGTATAGAGCATGCGGTTCAATAACAATACTGACAGTCAGACAACTCATACAGACATCCTTGAAACTGCATTTCAGAAAGGAATTCTTCAAGTTACATCATCACAAATCATTTAGTAGAGCTTTTGTGCAATATTTCAGTTAATTCTCACAGTAATTGCCTAATTCATTATTTATGATGCACACAAGCATACAGTTTGTATTTCTAAAACTACAAGTGAGATTTTTTTTAAAATCTACCTTACCACATGGATAGTTCTAAAATAAAAGTAGGTGTTTACTCTCACAAAATGAAAGCACTACATTTGCATGGACCATTAAACATAAAACCTTAAATAACTGTGGAGCGATAAATGCAGTCTTTTTGGACAGGCTACATGCATGTATATTTGGGGCAAGTTACATAGGCAAACAGTCAAGGTTCAAAGGGAAAGTTATTTCTTACTTCTTTCTTCTTTCTTTCTTCCTCCTTTCTTTTCTTTTCCTCTCTGATCTGAGCTAATCGTTGCTTCTTGCGCTCCAACTCCGCCTTCAGTTCACTTTTGTCAGACATGGCTGAAACACTGATCAACACAGAAATCATACCACTGCTTTTTTTTGTTTGCTTGAGATTGCTTATTTATAGGAAAACAGCTATCATTGAAGTAACTATACTAAAGATAGAACAGTGAGAAGTCTTTCAATCCTAATTAAAAAAAAAAAAAAAACATATTCCTATTTCCATGTTTTCTTCACTCTGTACATTCTCACTACTAAGCCTGACTTAAAACAGGACGATGATATGGTGACAGCACCCACTGCTAAGGTAGTACTGAAGCTGTTTGGAGGAGCTGCTCTGAATCATACATTAGGCACTGAAAACAGGGTTATCTGATCTTGCCACAGGATTCTGCACAGCTACAGAGCCAACTATGACACATACGCACATAAAACTGCATGGACAATGCGCCTGGAGTATTTGTACTTTCTCTTTCATCCCCTGACCATTGACACATGACAACTTAGCGGTATGGAAGTGATATATCCTGCTACATCCAGTTGCAGAACTTAAAACACAGATTTAACAAAAGATTTAGCAAGTCTACCATAAACTGCAAGGCAAAGTAGGTATCGGCACGACAGCAAAAAAAAAAATCCTGTCAAACATGCAATACCAATCTTTTTGTGTTTTATCCATAGACCTTTTACATGCTGCTAAGAAATTGTTGGATCTTTTAAAGACAACAATTCTACAAAAGCTTTGTTACATAACTCATCCAATTAAAAACAGACAGGAAATCCAATAACAAACAAAAGCAGAAGAAAAAAAAAACACTTCAGAACTTAAAGATTTGGGACACGGACACGAAAACCTGTGTGAACAGGCTGGGTGAACAAACACTTAGTTTTGCAGTAAGGCAAATCTGAGCGAGTAAAGAAAGTGCAGAAGTGGTTCTACCACAGCCAAGGGATCTATAAGGGCTTTTGCACCAAGCGTGATAATACTGACATCAGATTACACATCAGTAATACGGCTATTTACGTATTTAAAATTAAAAATATGCGCAAGCGTTTGCATAATCCATCTAAGGGCAGGAAAAGCTGTAAAACGCTGCAAGGCTGACACATTTACCCCCCTGTACACATCGGCAGCTCTTCCTCCATATTGCCTGCAAACACGTCAGTGCCAACAAACGATAATAATAACAAAAAAATGGCATTTCAGGCTTCAACGCCGCCCGGGCAAGGAGTGCTGTCACCGCACCGCGGCCCCTCGCCCCAGCCGTCCCCCCGCGCCCCGCAGGCCCCACAGCGGCCGCAGCGCCCGCCCAGCCCCGCCCGAGGGCGGCAGGGCCGAGCCCCGGCCCCACGGCCCGCAGCCGGCACAGGCAGGGCCCCCCACCCCGCCGCCGCGCCGGAGGGTCCCCGCTGACAGCCGGGCCGGGTGAGAGCAGCGGCCGTTAGAGCCGTTGGAGCCGTTACCGCGGAACCCCGCGCACCTGACGGCGGAGCCCGGCTCCGCGCCCCGCTCGCTTCCGCCCCGCTGCACAAAGGCGCCGGCAGCTGACAGGCGGGCGCCTACGGCGGGCGCGGCGGGTCAAACCAGCCGCCAAGGCGCTGCGGAGACTTACGGCGGAGCTCCGGCAGCAGCACCGCACTCCTTGGCGCCGCCCGAGGAGCGGCCCTGAGGGGAGGGGGGCTCGGGCGTGAAGCCACGCGAGGAGGCGGAGGGCGCTACCGCGGGCCTCGGCACCGCGCCCCTTCTGCCGGGGAGGGGGCTCAGAACAACGACGCCCAGCATGCAACGGGCGGGCCTCACCCATAGCGCCCTACGGCGGGAGTGCGGCGGAGCCGCGCGTGGCACGATGGGAGTTGTAGTCTGTGGGGCCCTCGCGGCCCTGAGGGGAGCGGCGTGGTGGCCGCGTGCCCGGCCCGCTGGGCGGGAGCGGAGCTGAGGGAGCGCACAGCGAGGGCTGGTGGCTCGCCCTGGCTGCCGAGGCGCTGCTGTGGGCCGCTGACATCTCGGGAAGTGCTCGGTGCCTCGGGCTGCTAATCTTCCACACGCATCCCCGTACCAAAGCCAAATTAATGCGGACAGCTCGTGCGGCTCAGGCGGGGCGCGTGTTCGCAGCATTCACTGACAGGAAATTCCCAATCGCAACGAGCCAGCCCCAGAGAGGGTTCAGTTCTCTGCTGCTGCCGGTTCCAGTAGAATCCCAGAGCCACAGAATATCACCACAGAATATCCCCTGCAGGGGACCCACAAGGATCATGGAGTCCAGCCCCTGTCACCACACAGCAATTCAGACCGAATGGCTGAGGGCAGCCCAAACGCTTCCAAAACTCTGACAGGCTCGGTGCTGTGACCACGGCCCTGGGGAGCCTGCTCCAGTGCGTGACCACCCTCTCGGTGAAGAACCTCTTCCTGACAGCCAGCCTGAACCTCCCCTGTCACAGCCTGACACCATTCCATCAGGTCCCATCGCTGGTCACGCTGGTTTATTTACAATCACTGGGTCTATGTTTATGTCTGGTGAGGATATCTTTGGAATTCCTGCTGACTTGCACTGGATAAAGACTGTTTGCGCTCCAGCTCTGTCAGCTGCAATCCTGTTACGTGTCACAAACTCAGCAGGTTAGTTGGTGCTTTGCTGGGATAACCCTCAGCACTGAGGCTGCTGCAGGAGTCGCTGCTGGTTATCCACTCCTCTGCAGTCCTCTATGCGAGTTGAGATTCGTACTACACCTTACAAAAAATTATAAAAGCTGTTGTCTGGACAGCTTCTGATCGTCAAATAACCCCCATACATTTCACAAGAGTTTGGGTGTTACCATTCAGGGAAACTAAGTGCATATCAGTGAAACTGTCACAGAAAATTGTATGATGCACACGAAAAGGGGTTCCATCTTTCTACAGAGATGGAAATATGATAGTAATAAACTTCCACAAGCAGCTGTCATCTTTTGAATCTTTTTACTGGGTTTTCTAATATCACTTACGATAATGCTTGCACCTTAGAACAGGATTTTTTTTAAATGTTTTAGATACGATTTTTGTTTGTTTGGCCATGTAATAGTAATTTTATATTTGAAGTTTTCTAATAATATTTTTCAAATTTATGCTTAACATTATGAACATGGGAATCAGATGTTTCACATTAGTGATGGATTTAGCCAATTGATTTCTGATAATTGATTTTCAATATTGCAGCATATTTATTTATCCTGAACCTACATATACCTGTTGAATGTCATGTTATTATTTCTTTATGTTAGTCTTTCATTTTAGAAAATACGATAAGTACAGCAGCTACTTTTTGCAGCTCTGACATCCCCTTTTTTCTTTGTAAATGATAGTTCTAGTTTTCAAACAGCTCTATTTGGGTCAATACAGCAGTGACACGAGCGTTGGCAGAATGCTAACTCTGCAAATGCACGTTATTTATTTATTTATTTATTAGCAGTCATTGATCTCACAAGTGACAGCAGTTTAAAATTAAATAATCTGTTAAAATTTTCTTCATCTGGGAGTCTCATGAGGTATGTGGTGGGAGGACAGAGCTGAGAAAGTGTACTGTTTGTAGATGCTTATTGGTGAGTGTTTCCTCTTAGCGTCAGCTTGTTGGTGACCACATCATTTGGCATGGTGATCCCCAGTTGCGCAATGATCTCTAAGAATGTGAAGTTACAGCATAAGGTGGTATCTTTCTGTCTGTAGGACTGGGAAAATGGTAGCTTTTAGGGGTTTTATGCATTGGGTTTAGGATGAATGTAGTATGATTAAGACCTGAATGCTTGCTTTAACAGTTTCTGTGTACCCACCTAAACTGTGCGCTACTGAGAAGCTACTTTGATACATGGAAAGAAATAAGAAAGATAAATTCAGTCCCTGCTGCAGACAGGCAGGAATCCAGGCTAAATGTGAGTAGACATCAGTCAGTTCAGAAGAGCCTCTACTCTTATCTTCTTGAGAACGTTAGACTGCTGTGCTGCCTGCATTAGCAAAAGAGTAGAGAGAAAAGGCAAGCGGGCCCTTGGCTTGCTTTGTCACCTTGTTGGGCTGCTGGAGAACAGCACTGATCTGCTGTGGGGCATGAGCTTCAGAGCTATGGTGGAGAGGATAGTTCCTTCCTCAGGCAACTGCCACAGCTGCTGTGTCCTCTCCAAGTGAGAGCAACTGGGAGAAGGCAGCTGGCCTACCTTTTTCCATTGAGTAAGCCAGACTCAATTTTATTTTTTTTGTTTGTTTGTTTGTTTTCCTTGTATTTCAGCAAAAATAAAAGTCTATCATGTGGACTTATTGGAGTTGAAATAATCAGGAAGATCTCATCCCATAACATAAAAATGTAACTTTTCTAGTATCATTATAATAGTCTGTGCTTTTCCCTTAGAAAATTTGCAGCATTGTTAATATAGGTTTCTCTCTGCCCTTCTCCTCCCTTTCCTCTTCCTTCTAGAGGGACACATTTTTTTCCTGTTGTGTCAAAAAAAGGTGATGGTGAATGATGGGTTCTTTCTGAGATGAGAACGCTTTTGCAATCTGATAACCTTTGGCACAAAACACATACACTAGTGAATGGTCCAGCACTTAAGAGTGATTCACTACTAAGCATTATAGAAAATAGGTTTACCAGTTGAAAAATTTCAAGGCAAGTTCTCCTTCTTCAGTGTGGTCTGTGTACAGCGCTCTCATTTTCTTCTATTATGTGGTTAAGAAGAGAGGAGATAATGAGAGCTTCTTAAGGGATCCTGTAATGCACCAAAATCCACACTACTTCTAATGGTTTTAAGAGGGAGTATGAAAACTGCCAAGAGATCAGCCAAAAGGAGCTATTTTCAGATGTGTTTTATGCCAGGCTATATTCTACCCTCAGTTTGTATACCTCACTCCTGTTAACCTTTACAGAAATTTTGTGTATTCATCAAAGGGAAAACATGTTTTAATATTTGTTAAGGTGATAACAGAATCACTTTTGTATACATTATTATTGGTGTTATTAACCAAAAAGATAACAAGATAAATAAGGAGAAAGAAAATGCTCACTTTTAAAAACTTTTCTTCAGGAATTTTTCTTCATGTAGGCAGAAGGGGTATCTTATATAATCTTCTGAAATATATTTTAGTCTAGAATAAAGATAAATAAAGGCACAATGAATATTAAGATTAACTAAAAATTAATATACTTTTCATCCAGTAATATGAAAATATCCCATTCTAGAAATGTTAATAATTACCTATATGAACTACATCATCATTATTTACAAATGAAGTAGGAGAGTTAAAAATACTATGTAATAAGATCCTATGAAATAGAATTTAGGATTCCTAACTTCCAGGCTTCTACTTCTATTACATAGTAATATTTATTCTTCTGTGGCTAGTGTTGAAAAAAGATGATTTACAATTAACTTTTCACTGTTTCATCATTCTTTTGGGAATTAATTGCATCATTCACTTGCAGCATCACAGAGTTGTGTTTTGGTAACCTGGAGTTATTTTACTGCTAACAACAATGTAAATAAAGATGCAAGCAGCATTTTCTAATATATTTCTCAGAATACCACCTACTTTTTAACTTAAATGAATCTTTACTTTTAGTAAAATTGCAAGTCAATGTTGGAAATCTATTTATTACTAGCAGATCCCAAACTACCCTGCCTTAATTCTAAAAGTAACATGAGCAGAAAGGGACTCGGTGATCTTGGAGGTCTCTTCCAACCTAGATGATTCTGTGAGATGACATAGTAAACCTTCTACAATGGTTAGTGCAGCCGTTTAGTGCAGGTTTTTGGTAAGGACCCTGCTGGAACATAACACAAACAGCAGGGCAAGTACTATGAGAAGGGACCAGACAACAAGGATGTGTTCCGTGTCCCAAACAACTCTGCAAAGGCTTGGTCCAAATGAAAAGTAGCCCTTAACTAGCTGGCTATTTACCAGAGTATTATGGAGCTTCAGCCTCCTTGTTCACGGAGATAGCATGCTAACAGTGAGCTGTCAATGAAGAATGTTGGAGCTAAACTGCATTTGCATTTGATTCTGATTTTTGTTGCATTTCAAAGATGTTGACATTGGACTCTGAGAATCTGCAAAATCAGTGTGCGTTCCTATGAAAAAAATCTTAGAAAAAAGTTCTAAAATCAAACCACATGCAGTGTCAGAATAGAAGTGTTTTGCTAGTGCGTATGTGTGCAAGTGGATACTCTTCTGCTGTCAAATTTATATCCAATAAATGCTTTTAACAACAGGTGTCGTCACTGCAGGTCTCAATGGCACCGTTTTCAGTTTCCTGTGGAGTCAAATCTGTCCTTACTGCCACAAAAAAAAGTTTTGCAAGATATGAGCCTGTTTGTGCCAGAGAAGCAGGTTGTTGTTGTTTTGGTTAATTTGGTAATGCAATCTTATCTGTCAGGATTTTTAACAGGAAATTGGATGGAGGTTGTATGTTGAATTACACTGATTCTGCTAAAACAGGTTGTACTAGATGATCTCTGAATGTCCTTTACACGTCTGTGTTCCTATGGTACTATGAGTAGAGGAGGAAAAAAACCCTGCTGTAATTCTTTGAATGAAACACCTTCCATGAAACAGCAATTGGGGATCTTATGCAGCTGTAGCGGTTTATAATCAACCCCTGCTTCTCTGCAAAAAATAATCACAATAAAAAAAACAGACACACAAAAATAATTCATCACCTATATTATGCTTGCAGAAAAAATATTTTTATCAGATTTTAAATTCATTTAATTTTAATAAAATAAATATATATGTTTATAGCTGTGGGAAGTCC